GGTGCCGGCACCCGCCCTCGAGATGAAGAAGCTCCAGGGAGCTCAGCTCCGCAAGGTAGTGCACCTGAAGCGGGGCGGGAGGGTCGGGAGGGTCGGGTCGGGTGGGGGGCGCGGCGCAGGGACCCCGGAAGCTCAGGTTCGGGAGGCCGGCAGAGCACGATGGGGGGTTTAGGAGAGGGGCGGGGTCATGGTCTCCCCTCCCCAGCCTCTAGGATGTGGAGACTGGGGTCCGGAGGCACTGGGCCTGGCCCTGCGAACAGGTGTCTGCAGCCCTAGCAGGCGAGGCGTAGGGGAGGCTGGGGCAGATACCTTTCCCGGTCCCCGCCTGCTGCCCCCGGAGCTGATTGCGGGCTAAGGAGTGTTAGAAGCTGAGCGCCAGCCCTGGGCCGGACTAATTTCGGGGTCAGGTACCCTCCTGGCCCGCCTCAGGCCACTCAGTTCTGAGGCAGCCTCTCTGCCAGCCGCCATCGATCGGACCCACTCCGTGCCTGCCCGCCCTGGCCCTGCAAGCCCGTACCCTGCTCCCTCCCGCTTCCTCTGGCAGCTCTGCCACCCTGCTGAGACCCCGGGCTGTCTCTTTCTCTGCAGGGTTGCAGGGAAGCAAAGGCAGGCAAAGAGTGGGGCGAATGGGAGCCCCAAGGATCCTGGGTGGAGCTGGAGGCTGGGACAAGAGGTGAAGGGGGAGCACTGGGGGGAAGTTTCCTGACTTTTGGTTTAGTAGTACCAGCCCTGGCCAAGGAGTCAGAACTCCAGGGTACTATTTCTGCAGCTGCCACCTGCCATCCTCTAACCATCCCCAGTTGGGGGCCACGGAGTGTGAGTGGAGTGCTAGACTCTGTGACCCAGAAGGGGCACATGGGTTGCTGTCATCACTCCCACACCCCCTCCTCCCACACAAGCACACACTCATTCAAGCTCTGTGCTTGGACAGCCAGGCATGGATGGCACTGCTTAGGAAGTGGGTCTTTTCTACTGGCTGACTTGATTTTATGGGGCCATTTGTGGGTGCCTTGAGTCCTCTGGGTCCTGTGCCTCTTTTTTTTCTACTCTTCTCTCTTCTCTTTGTTCTCACCACTTGACAAGAACCCTTGCCCCTCTTTGCCAGAGGCTGCAAATTACATAAATAGCCATGTGTCGTGAGGAGCTGGGAACTTAGGCAGCCGTATGTCATTCAATCTTCCAGGAATTCTGCAAATTGAGTCTTATTGTTCCCATTTCATCAATGAGGTAACTAAGGCAGAGGGAGGAGGCTTACTGCTTACCCAGAGGTGAGATGAGCAACTTAGAACTGCTGGGGCCACTTCCTCTTTGGTCTGGGAGAGAAGAGGGAGAAAATGCCAGGATCAGCAAGGAAGCAGCATGGCGCAGAGCTGAGCACTGGACTGGGAGTCAGAGATCTTGGTCCTAGTTTTATTCTGCCCTTTATCTGTTATTTGACCTTGGGCTCATCCCTTCTACTCCCGGGGCTCGGTTTCTTCATATACACAATAACGGAGTTGGAATCAAGATTCTATTGTCTCTCTCTTTCCTGAAGAACGTACTGACAGCATGGCTTGGGCAGTCCTGCCTCTCCAGGCCCTGCAGGCGTCGCTTGCATCTGGTGGTTCCTAAAGAGAAGCTGCAGGTCTTACACACTTGGGTGTGTGCTCTTCTCCTGCGTGATCCTAGAATGAAGATTGGGATGTTCAGGAGCCAGAGCTCCCACCCAGGTGGAAATGTGAAGTGGCTGTGTAGCTTCCAACCCTGTCCCATTTATCTAGTTGCTGTCCTCTCTCTCTTGACCAATCCCATCCTCGCTGTGCCAGCATCCTAGGATTCAGCATGCGGCATTAGGGGCTTCTGGTAGGCTCCTGATTGATTCAGCTTTGGAGACCCCATCCCTGGCCCTGAAACAGGAGCAAGCTTCCCTCTGATTGGGGGAGGAGGAGGAGGAGTTGGCAACATCCAGCTCTTGGAACTCTTGTCACCATGGAAACAGAGCCGGGACCGCTCTGTGAGCGTGGAAAGGGCAGCTTCTCTGGAGAGATCAGAGGAGTCTCATTAACAGGACCTCCTGCCAGATGGCCTGAACAGGACAGGAAAGTCCCAGGTGACAGGCATGCCTTGCTACCCAATGCCAAGGGCCAGTGTTAACTGGCTGCTGCTGCTGCATCCTTCCTGGAGCTCACCTGGGAGGAGAGGTTCCAGAAGACTGATGCTCACTCAGCTGGAGAGGCATCTGCAGGGGAAGGGAGGCGTTCAGGTAAGTCTGGGAGGGGCTGCTCACCTCAGCATGTCCAAAATCACTGCTAAGGAACTGTCCAGCCAGCACTTGTGTGTTTCAGCCCTTAGAGCCTAGTGACTTTAAAGGCAGCTTTTTACCTCTGTTATTGTTACCATCACCTGTAATCTTGCCAGGCTCTTCCTGTCACCCTTGCCCAGCCCCAGGCAAGATCACCATGGTGGTCACCACTATCACTGAGAACCAGTCCAGTGCTGTTATCCCAGTGCTGCCATCTGATCCACTGCCTACCCCAGCCACCACAGCCAGACACCTCCAGTGCTGGAGACACTCATACCAGCCCTACCCTCTATTACCACACCCCCCGGACTGAGGACAGAACCCATAGCCTTGCACATGCCAGGCAGGCGCGCACCACTGAGTTACACCCTAGCCCTCCCTTAACCATTTTAATCCCAGCAGTGCTTATATAACCAATGCCCAGAAAGCCTCTTCAGCCACCACCTGACTTATTTGGACAGTGTTACAAGGAGGAAGTCCTCTGGCCAGTAGCTTGGACTGAGTCCCCAGGTCAGGCTTTGATCTGACCCTTAAGGGTTGGAACTGTCCCCAGCAAAGGCTGTGGTGAGCTTGCCTCATGGACCACCAGAGCCAGAAGCCTCACTGGCCTTCATCTTCCCAAGTACAGCACACCCTAGCATGCTGACTCCATGAGATCCTCTTCTTAAGCAGATTTGGGTATACTGCATTCTAGTCCTTATTTGGGGTTGTGTGTATTGGTCCATTAAAAGATACGGCAAGTCCTGTAGTAAAGAAACATATTTAATTTTGTGTTAACCCAGCTTTTCTCAAACATCTTTGACTCAAGAACCCTTTTTTCCATGTACTACTATGAACATGTGATATATCATGAGAAATACTGACCCATGCCGTCCCCTTTTGTCCAGCTGGGGAAACTGAGGTCAGAAGACTTAGAAAGTCATGCAGTGCATTAGCATAGACCTTGGACTAGAACTGCAGCCTGCTGACCTCCATTCCAGTCCAGTGTTGTTCCAGGTTTCCTGTAAGCATTTCTCAAAGGAAGCAGAGGTCATTTTTCCTCTCTGAAGACCCTAAACAGTTACTTACTAATCAGCTTCCTTTGTATTTCCATTTTTCTCTGCCGCAAGGTGTGAATTCCAGAGCAAGCAGGCAAGGTATGGCTCCCCTTTCTCCTGACCTCTTCCTGGGTCAGTTGCTGGGAACTGCTCTGAATTTCAGATAGTCATCCTTGTTCCTTTGGGCTTCCTTCCAGGCACTAGGCCTAGGCAGTTGTGGTCAGGCTACCTAGCATTTCCTGTCCTGGGATCCCAAGTGGCTAGAGCAGGGCCGCCATCTCCCAGGCCCAGCCAGAAGGAAGAGTGCCCATCGGACTTCTCTGCCCCCTTTGAATCGTGGAAGGATATGTTAGAGACAGCTGGCCTCCGTGCCCCTCTGCACTTATCTGTCTGCCAGTGACAGCAAGATTCCAACTCTCTGAGACAAGTTAGGGCTTAGTAGCATGTGCATGCTCATGAGCGAACATCCACAGTCATCAGTAGGCTCCTCAAGCTGCACTGCATAGTTCTAATTCCTCCCTTAAGGAGTCATGTTCTGCCAAATCATCCACTTCCTGTGCTAAGGGTTCCTTGCTCTTCCCTTTGTCCCTTTGCAGCCACTTTTCCTGAACATCCTTCCATCAGCCATCTGCTCTTTGGACATGCTTCACACCGTCTCTGTGTCTTTCTTAAAATCAGATGCCTGGGGTGGAAATGAAGCTCATCCTGCACAGTGGGGAAGACATGGCCATCACTGTCAGAAAAGTCTGGGCTCAAGACCCAGTTCTCTCACTCACCAACCAGGTCAAAATCTTGGCTGGTCATGACCCCTCTCTGAGCCTCAATTTTCCTCATGATTAGAAGGGAGCTTAGAAGAGTACTTCCGTTGCATGGCTGGTCTGAGGTTGGACTCAGGTGACGGGAGGAAAATATTTAGTGCAAGCGCTCAGTATGTCGTGATTGTTAGTAAGATTGTTATCAGCAACAGCTGTGGCGGCAGCAGCAGCATAGGACCATCCCTTGACCTGGCCTCTGCCATCCACACTGAGATCAGGTAGCTTTCTCAGTGCCTAGGTCACCTGCTGGGGCCTAAGGATCTTCCGCACATGACCGTGCGAATCCAGATGATAGTGCCTGATTATCTAAACCAAGACAGCATCTTTTCATTTAGCCCTGTCCACTTCGGTATTCCTGCCTTGGTAGGGTCACAGCTCCAGCCTGACCTCACCCTTCTTCCTCCCCACTTTGGTGTCTCTTACTGACAGCCCATCACCCCAGACCTGCTGATGACCCCCAGTGACCAGGGCGATGTGGACCTGGATGTGGACTTTGCTGCAGACCGGGGCAACTGGACAGGCAAGCTGGACTTCCTGCTGTCCTGCATTGGCTACTGTGTGGGCCTGGGGAACGTCTGGCGCTTCCCCTATCGAGCCTACACCAATGGAGGAGGTATGGCCTCAGTCCAGTGGAGGGGTGTCTGGGGTGATGGACCAAAGCTCTGGGACAGAGTGAGCTTTTCTGCCACCTCAGCCACTGTCTTCTGTGTGACCTTGGGCTGGCAGGAGGGAGCTCACTCTGCCTTGTTCCTTCCTATCAAGCCAGGCCCCTCCTCCTTCTTTCTCCCAGGATGGATACCCCCACGATTTTCTCTCTGAGGCTCACACTCCCTGGACCCCATGCTGTGTGATAAAGGCTTTATCTGTCTATCAGGGATCAATTCGCTTTTAATATTCTCCCCACCACCTCCCCCTTCCTCCAGAACCCCGCTCCATCAATCATTTCCTCTCTTGAATCGTATTTCCTCCTGTTCTGGTTTCTTCCATTCAGACTGCAAACACACACACACACACACACACACACACACACACAATTCCTTTTGTTCCTGAATCTCTGATGAGTGACATTGTGAATTTCATTAACAGTAGCAAGGGTCAAGCGCTCACCACCTGCCAGGCCCTGGGCTTGGTGTGCATCTCCTTTAACCCTCACAGCCCTCCCGGGTGAGCACCACAGCATGATGAGGCAGAGAGACTTGTAGTGGGCCAGGTTTCTTGTCCAAGGTCACATAGCCCCCATGGTCCCAACATTCCAACCCAGAGCCAGGCACCATGGCAGAGTCCTATAATCCCAGCTACTAATGAGGCTGAGGCAGGAGGATTGCAAGTTCAAGGCCAGCCTGGGAAGTTAGTGATACCCTGTTTTAAAGGAAAATAAAAGTAAAGGGCTAGGGATGTAGCTCAGTGGGAGAGTGCTTGCCTTGCTTATGTGAGGTTCTGCGTTCAACCTCCAGCATCACAAATAAATCCAACTGGGACAGTCTTGTCCAGGCCCACGGTGGTCTTGCCAGGATTCTGTCTCCAGCTGTCTCCACCAGACTTGTAAAGGAGTGTATATTGGTGCAGTGAGAGAAATCAGGTGAAACAAAGCAAAGCTATGTTCATATTACCAGTTACGTGGGACTGGGGCCAGCCACTGAGACTCCAGGGACGCACAACGTCCACAGTGCTGCCTTGCTACTCTCCCTCTCCTCACTTCCCCGCTCTGCTTTGTCTGCTGACCTCGTTGTTCCCTGAGGCAGGTTCTGTCTGCCCTGCAGTTGGGGATAGGAAAGGTGACCACAGACACTCTGGAATGGTGCAGGTCCTCAGCAGGTTTCGCAATCCAGAGCTTTCCATCTGATTAAGTGTAGACAGCATTGCAGGTAGGTTTCTAGATGGCCTGCCTTGGGATATGTGTCCATAGCAGGGCCCAAGGGAGAGCAGGTGTGACTGCAGCACTTCCAGGGCTGTACGGTGGTGGACAGCTCTCTGAAGAAGGTGGGTGCCAGCAATATAGGAGAAGGGGGAAGGGATGTTGGGCCCAGGAAACCACAGGTGGCAGTCTTGAGTGTCTGAGGCAGCACAGCCAAGAGAGGAGACCAGACTGGAGCCGGGTTCTGAAGGACAGCAACTCCTGTCCCAAGGAGTGTGCACTTGCTTTAATGAGTTCCCTCATTCCATCGTTCATTCAGTCCTTCATTTATTCGTTCACTTGCTCTGCAGGCGGTTTTCCAGGGTCTGCTCTGGGTCAGCCTTGTTTTGGGCACGGGGCTACAATGATGAGTAAAGCCTTGCTGGACTCCTTGGTCCTCAGAGGCCTGATGAAAGAGACGACAGCCCCACAGGCTCAGGGTCCCAGTGGTGTCTGCCGTGGGGCAGGGTCGGGTGGAGCCAGGCTTTGGGGGAGCTGATCCTGTGAGCCCCTCCCAGCCTTCCCTGTTCCTCGCAGGCGCCTTCCTTGTGCCCTACTTCCTCATGCTGGCCATCTGCGGCATTCCCCTCTTCTTCCTGGAGCTCTCCCTGGGCCAGTTCTCCAGCCTGGGACCCCTGGCCGTCTGGAAAATCAGCCCCCTCTTCAAAGGTGAGGCCTCAGTGGTCCCTGGGCTGGGCTCACGCTGAGGGACCACTCCCTCAGACTCAACCTCCCGGCAGAGAGGAAAGTGAAGGCAGGAGGTGATAGCTTCCTGAGGCCACTCAGCTGGGCCCATGGAGAGCTCGGGGGCCACCCAGCAACACCTCTCCCCACACTAGGTGCTGGCGCAGCCATGCTGCTCATCGTAGGCCTGGTGGCCATCTACTACAACATGATCATCGCCTACGTCCTTTTCTACCTCTTCGCCTCCCTCACCAGCATCTTGCCCTGGGAGCACTGCGGCAACTGGTGGAACACGGAGCGCTGCCTTGAGCACAGAGGCACCAAGCATGGCAACGGCGCACTGCCCCTCAACCTCTCCAGCACTGTGAGCCCCAGCGAGGAGTACTGGAGGTCAGGTGCCTGCGCCACTGAGGCTGGGCGGAGAGGGTGCCCTCCGGAGCAGCATTCGGGGGTAGCGTTAGGTGGACTCTTCACTGGGTCAGCTCTGGGACCTTGAACAGTTTATTTGGGTTCTGTTGCTTTCTCTTTAGAATGAGGACAATAGTAGTAGCTGTTTCAGAAGGTGGTCATGAAGATGAAAGGAAAGAATGCATAGAAAATCCTGCAGTCCAGTCTGGAGGGTAGTAAATGCTAGCTAATAAGCCTAACACGGAGGTGATGGTAACAGTAGTGGTGACATTTTGGAGTTTCTGTTTCCTCTTCTGTAACAGTGGAGGTGACGATAGTACCTGTTTCACTGGATGTTATCTACTCAGTCATTTGCTTATTCATTCTTTTAATAAATATGTATGAGCACCTACTATATCATAGGCAAATATGTAGTGTAGGGCCAGGGCCATACATAGTAAAGACCATCTCAGATTAACATAGTAGGAGAGGTGAGACGGATGGAGTTGCATTGCTGTGAGGCTTAAAGGGATTCAGGTAAAACTGTCACATGGGCAACCTGGGCATGGCAGCTGTCAAGAGGCTGTCACTGCTCATCGGCTTGTCCCAGCACCCCATTCCACAGCTGGGAAAACCAGACCCCAGGCCTGCTTAGCCGTGGATAGTAGAGGTGGTATTGCCATGTAGGACTCCTGATTCCTATCCTGTTCTGGGGCATTCTGGAGAAGTCTGAACCCTGTGTGAGGACTACCGTCTGGCCAGAGGTTTGGGTCCCTCACCCCTTCCACTGTAAAAGGCTGCTCTTGGGGATTCCCCCACATGGGCCCATGTTGGAACCGTTTCTTTCCAGTCTGCATGGGCTGCACAGTCCAACTGTCCCTGTCACGGCCATTGCAGTGCCCATACCTGCTGAAGCGCAGGTCTGACAGTGGGAGAGGACAGGCCCAGGTCTGCAGCTCAAAGCCAAAACTCGACGTGGTCACCGGCAGCTGCCAGGAGTTTCCATGGCAATGTCATGAGCCACTCCACCAGTTGGGATGCCAGCAGGAGGCAGGTGGTACAGTCCGCAGGGCCTGATGGAAGGAAGTGAGGTGAAGGGGCTTTCAGGAGGTCAGGAAACCCACTGGGAAAGGTGGGGTGCCAGGGACTAGCAATAGGAGGAGCTGTTACCCACCCTGAACCACAGAGGCGAGAGCCAGAACCGGGGAGATTGGAGCTCGGAAGAAGGTCTGCCCAGCCAGAGCTGTGGCTCAGAGCAATGGCCACAGCCAGACTCCCAGGGTGGTGGCGAGCGGGTGCACTTGTGTGTACACACATGAACCCGGACCCCTCTTCCTGTCCCCTTTGTGTGTCCTGCTGCTGCCTCCCTGCAGGCAGTGAAAGCAGAAGAGGAAGGAAGCCAAGATAAGGGGTCAGTTAGAGTCCTGGGAACACAGCTGGGGAGGGAAGGATGAGAGGGGCAGGGAGGCTGTCTCGTGAAGATTCGAAGGGCCTCACTGCACACAGCTGTACTCCAGACCCGTGGATGGTGACCACAGGACCTTCGTCTCTTACAGCCGCTATGTCCTCCACATCCAAGGCAGCCAAGGCATCGGCAGCCCTGGGGAAATCCGCTGGAACCTCTGCCTCTGCCTGCTGCTGGCCTGGGTCATCGTGTTCCTCTGCATCCTCAAGGGTGTCAAGTCCTCGGGCAAGGTGAACCCGGGAGTCCCCAAGGCCTGAGAGGGTGGGAAGGGCTTCCTGGAGGGGGTGGGTGAGCGCCAGGGCTGAGAGATGCTCAGACTTCACCCAGAGGAGGGAGGAAGTGGGCACTGAGATGGGGCAGAGCCGCAGGAGCACTGAGGAGGGGGCAGGAACAGTGGGCTGGGCTCCTTATTCAAATTGGTCTCGAGCCCAGGGCTGGCTCTCTGAAGGGGCTCAGTGATAGTTTGTTGAACAGAGGGTGGGCCTGAGGCGCCAGTGAGCCAAACCCAGCGGTGTTGCTCAGTTAGGAAGTCCAGAGGTCTGCTGCAGGTGCAGCTGGGCCCGGGGTCATGGGACAGCGTTGAGGAACCTCTTCTCTGGCCTCTCTGGAAAGCCAGGCTCTCCTCTGCGTTGGCTTCCTTCTTCGGGAGGCTGCCCCCGAAGCCCCAGACTTAGACTTTACCTGACTGGGGAAAGGCTTCTCATTCCTGCTTGCACAATCACAGAACTGAGTCTTACTGGGTGAGCGGGGTGGTGCCCCCACCCCTGAACCAGTCTCGTGGCCAGGAGGGTGGAATGCTCTGCTGGACCCGGAGTCAGCCCCTTCCAGGGAAAGATAACGCACTGTATCTGAAGAAGGCAAACTAGTTGCTGGGAAGGAGAAGCCGTTGATGTCCATTGTGGGTGACGAAGGGGCAAGAAAGGCAGCAAACCGGTTACAGAGGAATTGGAAGGGTTCCCTCAGGAATTATACTTTAGCACGTGTCGCTCCGCTAAGCGCTGACAAGTGCTGCCTGCGAGGGACAGGGCCGTTACAATGAGACTGAGGACGCGCTGGAAAGCTTTTAGCAAGGGGAGGGGCATCATGGTCACCGCTAAGGCGCCGGGGTGAGGTGTGCCAGGGCTTGCTGAGCAAGTGTGCGGGGATGTGGCAGAGGCAGAGGGAAGTCTGGGAGCATCGGATGCTTGGTGGCCGTGCAGAGTGAGCTTGCACGGCCAGGTGTAGGCAGACAGGAGTTGACTGATTTTTTATGAAAAAAATTTTCCTGTGGGGCTGGGGATTGAACTCAGGGTTTTGCGTATGCTGAGCATGTGCCCTACCTCTGACTACGTCCCCAACCCAGGAAGATTCTTACCACTACACTGGTGGCCTGTACCAGACACCTTGGCAAGCGGGTGACAGCACGCTGCTAATGGGTTGGGTGGGTGGAGGCAGGAGGGAGCGAAGCATGTACAAGGAGGAGGGCCAGTTCCTGGCCCGGGCCACCCAAGGGGAGACGAGTGTCTAAATGAGGATGTGAGGAGGAGGAGAGGTGTAGAAAGAAGGTCCCCGGCCTCTGGCTCCCTGCTTGTCTCTCAGGTGGTGTATTTCACGGCCACGTTCCCCTACATCATCCTGCTCATGCTGCTGGTCCGTGGAGTGACCCTCCCCGGGGCCTGGAAGGGCATCCAGTTCTATCTGACACCCCAGTTCCACCACCTGTTGTCTTCCAAGGTGAGGTTCTCGGGATGGGGTACAGAGAGAAGGGTCAGCCAGGGTGAGGAGTAGAAAGGACTCGGTGGGGAAGAGAGGGGGTGGGGGCAGGAACCACCCACTTGGAGAGCCCCAGCAGCAAGCAGTGTACCCGGCCCTTCGTGTGTGTCTTTTTCACTTGTTATTCTTAAAAATCCTATGAAAGAAACAGTATTGTCCACATTTTACAGGTGAAAAACCTTTAGTTCATAAGAATGCATGATAAGCTTAAGGCATGTGACTAGAGAGTACCAGAGTTGGGATTGCAGTCCAGATCTGTTGGACTCCAAATCCCAGGAAGGCACTGGTACTAGTGCTGATAGCAACATGGTACTGATAGCTAACATTTACTATGTGTTGGCCCATGGCTGTGCCTGAACCTGCCCTAGCACTGTGCTAAATAATAGTGGCTTAATTCCTACTGCCCCCCTTTATGAGGCAGGCACTATTCCTGTTCCCTCATCACCAGCAAGGAGCCTGCAGTCCAGGGCAGTGATGTGCAGCTACAAAGCAGTGGAGCTGGGATCCCTGTCCAGGTCTCTCTGACTCTAGGCAGGAAAAAAAAGGGTTATAGGAGCTCACTATCAACAAATCTGCTGGAAGCTTTACATTAGGCACTACTTACTTATGGAATGGACCAGGCTTGGAGAGCAGCTGTGAGACTAGGTAGGAAACTGAGGCCAGGGGTGGGGGCTGGTCCACATCCTGCCGTGCAAGTGCTAGAGCTGGGCTTGTGAGCCTGGCTTCCCCACACTAAGCCTGGACTGTGCGCCCCAGCCTAGCCCACTCCCTGGCTGCCCCCTGCACCCACGGTGCACCAGCCCCGCCCCCCTGGCCTCCATCTCCCTCCTTCCCCGGCGCAGGTATGGATCGAAGCTGCTCTTCAGATCTTCTACTCCCTGGGTGTGGGCTTCGGGGGTCTTCTCACCTTTGCCTCCTACAACACATTTCACCAGAACATCTATAGGTCAGTGCCTGCAGTTTCTCAGCCCCCTGGGGCTGAAGCAAGGAGGAGAGTGGCTGGCCAGGGAGGGCCTTCTGGGTTGAGGGCACCACCTTCTCACCCTGTCCTGTGCCCGGACTTCTCCTGGCAGAGACACCTTCATCGTCACTCTGGGCAATGCCGTCACCAGCATCCTGGCTGGCTTTGCCATCTTCTCTGTGCTGGGCTACATGTCGCAGGAGCTGGGCGTGCCTGTGGACCAAGTAGCCAAAGCAGGTGGGCAGGGTGCTAGGGTCTGTTGTGAGGGTGTGTGCGGACCAGGGAGATTGTAAATGGGTATGGGGTGTGTTGTGTGCCTTGCAAGAGCTTGCGTGTTCCTGTGCATGCAAATGAACATGTCCTAGTTGGTTCCTGGGTGTCTGTGTATAAAGGAATAGCTGTGCAAAGGCACACTGTGTTATTAGTTTGTGTCTTCAGGTGAGTCTGTGGAGACTGTCTTATCTCTTGTGCCTTGCTGGTCCAAAGGAGTCATTTTCTGTGGTGAGCTGTCTGTGTGCAAGTGAGAATGAATCAAGGGTGAGAATGGTCTTGTGAATCAGTGTGACTTGTGTCAGTGGTTATCAATAAGTAGGTTTTAGTGGGGTTCTTTGTACAAATGATTGTGTACACACACGTGTTCTAATAAGGTTTTATATTGGAGCTTATGTTTATTCATGCATTCATTTATTCTATTATTTTATTGAGCACCTGGGCTGACCCATGTCCTTGAGGTTATGACAGCATTAGAAGCGTACGTTCGGTGCGTGCCCCAGAGTGTGCCTGCACAGATGTGCGTGTATGGAGTGTGTACGTGGGGTCGCTGCATGCGCCAAGCTGCTGACCTAGTGTGCTCTTGGCCCAGGCCCCGGCCTGGCCTTTGTAGTCTACCCACAGGCCATGACCATGCTGCCCCTGTCGCCCTTCTGGTCTTTCCTCTTCTTCTTCATGCTTCTGACGCTCGGCTTGGACAGCCAGGTGAGCCTCCTGCGTGGTGTGGGAGGAGAACACTTCCCTGGTGGTGCGTGGGGAGAACACTTACCCCGCCTCCTGCCTCCCACCATCCAGTTTGCCTTTCTGGAGACCATTGTGACAGCAGTTACAGACGAGTTCCCATACTACCTGCGGCCCAAGAAGGTGGTGTTCTCAGGCCTCATCTGCGTGTCCATGTACCTGATGGGGTTGATCCTCACCACTGACGTGAGTGCCCTGCTGGGGGAAGGCAGGCAGGGCAGGGTGGGGACGGCACCTGCAGCTGTGTCTCTGGCCCGGCCGAGCAGTCATTGAGACACCCGCCTTCCTCATTTTGAAGAACCTGTCCCTCCCCAGGCCCTGTCTCCAAAGGGAGGCAGTACAACCTTGGCAGAATCTCAGAGTCTGGAGATGTGGGTTCAAACCTCGCTCCCGCACCTGCTGAACGACCTCAGACAAGTGACTGCCTGCCTGAGCCTGTTCTCCTCATTGTTAAGTGGGGGTTCTGTCAGACAGGGCTTTTGGGAGACTCAAGGAGGTGGGGCAGGAGCATCGGTGGGCAGGTGGCTGGTGTCATGTTGTCTTCATCTTGCTCTCCTGGCAGCCTGGCTACTTGCTGCTCACTCCCTGCTAGGAAAAGGAGGCGGGCCAGGGATGTAGCTCAGTGGCACAAGCGCCTGCCTGGCAAGCACAAGGTCCTGAGTTCGATTCCCAGTTTAAAAAAAAAAGAAAGGAAAAGGAGGCTGTGGCAGAGGGTGGAGCCAGGGTGGGAGACCCAGAGCTGTGACTTGTGTTTCAGGGGGGCATGTACTGGCTGGTCCTCCTGGATGACTACAGCGCCAGCTTCGGGCTGATGGTGGTGGTGATCACCACGTGCCTCGCTGTCACCCGGGTTTACGGTGAGAAGGGGTCTGAGAGTCGGAGCTGATGCTCCCTCACGTGGGAGAACGGGGTCTACATGGGGGCCCTTTTGCTTTGTGGGAGGGGGGTGCTGGGGAAGGGGCTTCTGTGGGTCAGCTGTGGAGCCATTGCTCCTCCTCCTTACACAGGCATCCAGAGGTTCTGCCGAGACATCCACATGATGCTGGGCTTCAAGCCGGGCCTCTACTTCAGGGGCTGCTGGCTGTTTCTGTCCCCAGCCACACTCCTGGTAAGCAGCGTGGGAGGGAGGCTAGCTGGCTGACTCTGTATTCAGTCTGATAGGGCCGCCCTGACGCAGAGCAGAGCCTCTGTCCAGGCTGCGGGCTGGATGGGAGGGTCCTAGCCCGCCCCGCTCTCCTTTTGCAAGGCCCTCAGCTTTTGTATCTGTGCTAGGCCAGCTTTGCCTTTGATTGGCAAGAGGGTGGGGTTTTCCCTCTTTCCCTGTGGCCTCAGGGCCTCAACACTGGGTTTTCTTGGTCTTCAGGTGGCACTGCTCAGGGACAGGCCATCTTAAGAAAGGGTGCTTCAGAGCTGAGCTGTCCCAGCCTTAGGTCAGCTTGGAGCTGCACTAGCTCAGGCCTTAGAGAGTCTCCAGGGATGTGCTATCTCAGGTTCCTTTACAGCTTAGAACTCTGGGTGGCTCTGGGCTGGGCTATGTCAGGTCTTGGGAAAACAACTCAGACCAGGGCTGTCCCAAGCCCTGGAGGCCACTGTGATGCTGAAGTCCCCACCCTGCAGGCCTTGCTGGTGTATAGCATTGTCAAGTACCAGCCCTCAGAGTACGGCAGCTACCGCTTCCCTGCCTGGGCAGAGCTGCTAGGCATCCTAATGGGCCTGCTGTCCTGCCTCATGATCCCCGCTGGCATGCTGGTGGCTGTGCTTCGAGAGGAGGGCTCGCTCTGGGAGGTGAGTCTGCCCTTCCCATCCATCTTTGCCCTCCGGGCTCTGACCTTGTCCTGGACCCTCACACCTTACCAGGGCATTGTGTGCTTCTTTAGCCTAAAGAGACCTGCTTGTGTGAAGCAGATTCAGAGGCCTGGGGTCCTGCCTTTGGCACCTCCCAGCACATAGTATCTTGGTGAGGGTACAAAAGACCACTGATGACCTGGTCTTTGGGCCAGAATCAGGACTTGAACTCAGGTGACCAACCTAGGGCTTCCCGCTGGAACTCAGATTCCTTAGGCAGCACCAAGCACACCCAAGAGATGGACTGGCACCTTCCCCCTGCTGTGTCCTGTAGGTGGCCTGGGACAGAATGATGCTGCAAGCCTTGCCCCAGGCCAGGGCTTCAGGAAGAGACCCAGAAAACAGAGTACAAGCTATTGGGCACAGGGGTCAGCAGGCCTCGGAGGAGGGAAATGGCAACCTTTGTGGGCCCTGGGATGTGACGTGTGACCAAAGCAAGGCCCTGCCTGTCTCTGTGCCTCAGGACACTGTACACTGAGGACACTGAGCCGTTCACTTCTGCAGCTGCTGGTGGCCAGAGGCTGTCATTGTGAGTGGAGCTTGAGAGAGCCTGATGGGTCCCGAAGGGAAAGTAGGGAGCCTCCCCAGCACGTGTTCTATCCTAGGGGTGCGGGAGCCAGTGGTAGGAATTGACAGTGGAAGGAAACTGGCTACAGAGCAGCCCTCCTGGCCCTTCCCATGCCTGCCGATCAGCTCAGTGCTGCCCCATCCCAGCCCCATGTACCCTCCCTGCAGCCCTCCCATCATCTCTGAGTCTCCAAGCAGAGAGAGGCTCCCGCCCTGCCACCTTCAGCAGCAGAAGGGCACTGTGACTGCACCCTCGACCACAGGGGCAGCCCAACGTCCAGCTGCTGCTGTGTCTGACCGCTGTGCGACTTTTGGCAAACCCTTCTGTGAACCCCGGGAGCGCTCTCTGTGCTCCTAAAGGGCCATTTGCCTGCTTTAGGAAGTCAGGAAAGGAAGGCAGAGTGGGGAGCTGCTCACTGGAGCTCAGGTTCTGGGAGGCTGATATTCCATCAGGCTTAGTGACCAGCTGGAAGAAACTCTGGGCTCCCAGCAGCCACTGCAGGAGCTGCCCACTGCCCACAGCCAGGTGGAGAGGAACAGGGCAGTGAGCAGCGCAGAGGAGTCACTGGCTCAGGGGTGCCACCTTCAGAGGCCATTAGATGATTCATTAGGCTCAGAACCCTGGTTCTGCCATTTGTCAGTGGCATGAATGACCCTGAGCAAGCGCCTGCACCTCTCTTGCTTTCTCCATCTTTAGAGTAAGGACAGTGATACCCACTTATAGGACTGCTGTGAAAAGAAAAGTAGCTCATTGACATAGCACGGTGGGGATAGAGATGCCAAGTATTTCAAAATTCGGGATGGAGTTGCATTGCCTGGGTTCAAAGCCCAGGACCACCACTTCCCACCCTTGTGACCTCAGCTATCTTAACCAGCTGGCCTGAGCTTTAATTCTTAGATAAATCCATGGGGCGGACGGTGAAAGTGTTAATAGCCCTCTCATGGGGATACCACAAAGACCCCTTCTAGTAAGCAACATGCGCAGAGCCGACTGCAGGCAGTGCTCACTCAGTTCCAGTCCAGGGTGGTTTTGCATTTGGTGATGGCGGGGACGTTGTTGGCTGTCACAGAGAGGGGAGGGGTTCGGCGCAGTGCTGCTTTCACCTGCTGGACACAGGCCAAGAGTGCTGCTAAATGTCCCTCCATGCATAGGGCAGCCCCAGAACAGAAATTTTCCTGAACAAAAGGCTGAGAAACCTGGGTCTGGGCACCTAGTTCAGCTGGAAACACAGCTAAACCCTCGCTCTTGGGGAACTTGCATTTTAATGTGGGAGACGGGCAGCAAGCAAGTACGTGAAGACAGTGGTAAGGGCTACGCTTTAGGAAGAACACAAAAATGCAAACAGAAGGAACACAAAGGCATGGAGGAGCCCAGAAAATGCTGGCACAATAGTCACGGGCATCCATGTGGATTGGGGAAAGTGTTCGGGGCAGTTCGGCAACAGGTGCAAAAGCCCTGAAGCAGGAAGGGTTGGCAGGTCTGAAAGCAGCAGAGAGAACGGTGTCCCTGGAGCAGAGGGAGTGGGGGGAGAGGGGCAGGTGCTGAGGCCATGAGGTAGACAGGGCAGGACACAGGAGGCCGGGGTGAGTGCTTCAGATTCATGCCGAGGGAAGAGAAGCCATTGGCAGGCTTCTGAGGAGTGGGGTTACGCTCTGTGAATCCGTGTGCTTCCCGCACTGTGAGCACCAGGTGTGCCAGGCCCGAGGCCAAGGGCACTCCGCACGTGCTGTCCCCGAACCTGTGCCCAGTGGCCTCTCCTGCTGTCAGGCGCCTCCTTCTCTAAGAGCCTGAAGCTCTTCTCCCTGGCTGGGGAGGCAGAAGGCCCTGGGAATGAGGTCAGAGGAGGAAGGAGCTCTAGACCTTCCAGGCTGAGTCGCCACGTAGTCAGCTCCCTCCTTCCATGGAAACGGGCCCAAGAGGGAAAGGTCGAAGTCAAGGCTGGAAGGACCCAAGGGGGTCACCGCAGTCCTCCCTTAGCTCTCCTCGCTCCTCCTAAAATCCTCCAGCTCCTCTGCATTCAGCATTTCGGGGGAGGAAGCCAGAGTGGGCTTCTGGCTCCACCTGCAGGTGCACAGAGGAGAGCCCTGCCTCATCCTCACAATGGCACTGTTTAGCAGGCCCTGCCCTGCTCCTGGCACCCCACCAAGGGCATCATCTCAGTGCTGCTCTGGCAGGGCTCACAGCACCAGGTTACAGACCATACCCAAAGGCCACCCAGCTTGTAAGTGGGGAGGTACCCTGCATACACACACACACACACACACACACACACACACACACACACACTGCCCTGGGGTTGTTGCAGGAACTCAGCCAGGTGACGTGGTCAGGTCTTTTCTCGGTGCCTGGCCGTAGGCTACACTCAGCCACTGTTGGCTGTCTTCACCGCTGTCACTGCCCTGCCACAGAGGCTCCAGCAGGCCAGCCGGCCAGCCATGGACTGGGGCCCGTCGCTGGAGGAGAACCGGACAGGCATGTATGTGGCCACACTAGCCGGGAGCCAGTCGCCCAAGCCGCTGATGGTGCACATGCGCAAGTACGGGGGCATCACCAGCTTTGAGAACACAGCCATCGAGGTGGACCGCGAGATCGCAGAGGAAGAGGAGTCCATGATGTGAGGCCAGAGGCCGGATGGGCAGCAGGTTCTCTACCTGGGGCCCCACAGCCCTGCCAGGGAGCCTGCCAGGTGCAGCCACACTGCTGGGATTCTGAGAGGCCGGGAGAGCTTGCCGTGGTGATGCTGGCTCTTACTGCAATTCCGCCTTGTGACCTGGGCCTGTCCCAAAACCACTGTCTGCCCCACCCCCAGCACAGCCCTCTCTCTGTAGAAGGACATATTAAGGCCAGTGAGGGAGGGACTGGCCCAAGGTCACATGGCGAGAGGACTTGGTCCAGGGCCTGTGGACAGTCTGCATCCTTTCCCCACATGGTCACTGCTGTCCGGGGCCCAGCCCTTCTCTGTGCTGGGAAGCTGTCCTCACACTCACACAGCCTGAGCTGCAGGGCAGCAAGAGGCTTGCAGAGCTCACAAGGCCCTGGATGTTGGGGGCTCAGTGGGAAGGAAGATCACTGTGGGTTCCTGAGTGCAGGCCCAGCTTCCCAAAAGTAGGAGCAGAGGGCCTTTGGGGAAGGCAAGTTTCTAAGAGAAAGAAGGGGCACACCTCAGGCAGAGATGCCCCCAGGAGCCAGGGGAAGCCAAGCTGCCCCTGTGGAGCCCCTGCACAGCTGGAGATGTCGATGGCGGCAGGCTTTAAGGGCATTCTGGTCCCCGTGAGGGACAGCAGGGAGGGGAGCCGGGCGGTGGGTGGGAGCGGAGCTGCATGATACCTGACATCCCTTTGGGTCTCTGCAGGGTGCCCTGGGGACAGGATGCACATAGAGGCCTGCGGAGGCAGCTGGGGCCTGAGAGAGGGCACCGGGGTGGAGACGGGAAGACAGGAGGCTCCAAACCCTGTGCCTGGGTGTGGCAGGGAGGCCTGAGAGTCAGTCGCGGCTGTGCAGGTGGGACAGAGGGTCAGGGCCCGGGCTCGCTTTCTTCCCTCTCCTTCATCCCAGAGGCCCTCACCGCCTCCCCCAGCTCCAGGTGCTGCTGGGGCATCGGCCGTGGCTGAGTGACAAGAGAAACTGAGACGAAGAGACACGCGCACGTGGTCATCTGTCTGGATGCCATGCGCCAAGCTCCGGGGCCCAGCGTGAGGCCCGAGGCAGACATCAGGGGTGTGGCCCCTCCAAGGCCTGAGTGGTTTCTTGCGCAGGGCGCTCTCCAGTGGACGGGTGCCTTGGTGCAGCTGCGGCAGCCTCTGTGCCCTGTCTCCTGGCATCTCCCCGCCATCTGTCTTCTGTTGGTTGATTGTTAATAAACACCAGATGAGCTCATCTTCCTGTCTCCTGACTGCCGAGAGCCTGAGAGGGGCAGCACAGGCCTCCCTGCCTTCCACTCCCACTGGTCAGACGAGGAGACTGAGGCTCGGCCACCTCCTTTCTTGGCTCTCCTGAGTCCTACAGCCTGCTCTGCACTCTGCTGGGGGGTGGAGGGGCTGAGGACAGAAGGTGAACTCCGGCCCCGCACAGACTACTTAGTTCCCCCCTTTGTCCCCTCGGATGAACTGAGATCCACCGCGAGGAAGATACTTCAGGGTGGCAGATCTGGGCTGGCCAGCCTCTCCTTTGTCTCCTCCTCTGCCTTTCTGGCAGGTGAGGGTTGGAGCTGGAAGACCGGGCTTGGGAGGAGCCAGGGTTTCCCTCCTGGCAGGGCCTGGCTGTATGAAAGAGCCCTGGCTGTCTAATGCGAGGCCGGGTGTTTGCACGGCTTTGACTGCAGCGCAAAGGAAGGGCTGCATGTTTGGGGATTAATAATTTCCCCTAACAAAGCGCCAGGCCCCTCCTACCCCTCTGTTGGGGCTCCCGTGGGAAAAAGGATGAATTTGCTAATTTGCAGAGGATGCAGGAATGGCCTTCATAAGTCGGGATGCTTCTTCCCACACCCAGGGCGGCTTGGCCTTGCTGGCAGGGCCCCTGGCACTGGGTCTCCCAGCATTCTTTCTGCGCCTGCCAGGAGCCACGGTCTTGGCATTTCTCACCCTGCCCTCACTGCAGCCAGGCACCCAGGAGAGGGAATAGCACAGAGCCCAGTGCTCTCTGCTCCCCAGATTCCAAGTGTGTGCACCCACAACCCCAGGCCCCCTCTCACCGGCCTTGTCCCCATCCCCGCCAGCCCTCCACTCTTCCTGCCTCCCCTCCTCGTCCTCACCCACCCAGCCCCGCAGCTGTGATTTCTGCACTGCCCTCCCTGGCCCTGTCCTCCGTCCGTCCGTCCGTTCTGTTTTTCCATTTCCATTTCCACCACTCTCAGGCAGCTCTTCCTCCCTCACCGCCCCTCTCCTCCCTCTGCCACCTGTGCCATCTCCTGGCTGCCACCCCCCACGCTAGGCTGAGTCCGGGTCTCCCTGGCTCACAACACAGCGCATCCCAGCCAGGCCTGACTACCCAGGAGCTGGCTGGAGAACCAGGTGCCCCAGCTCACACACCCATGACCGCACAGCAGGCAGCTCGGCCCTGTCCCCCCAGGACCCCAGCCTGGGGCCCATCCTAGAATATCCGAACAGGTGACCTGAGTGAGGAGAGCTCTTGGCTGAGCAGAATAACTGACCAAGGGAATAACTGGCCACTGAGGTTGGTGGATGCGGGAGGCACTGGCAGGAGAGCTGTGGGGCGGTGGAGAGAGAAGCATGCCCGAGCGAAGAGAAGCCTGCCTCTCTGAAACCCCAGTCTCCGGGCTTTTTAGGAGTACCTGGAAGTCTGGATTGCTGTGAGAAATTTCCCAGTTTGAAACTTTGGAAACTGCTTCGAAAGATGTAAAAGAGTGCGGCTCCTGGGCCTCCTGTCCTGCAGACCACTTGCTCTGCCGACTTGGGGGAGCAGCACAGAGGGCTGTGTCCATCGTGCGCGTGACAGTGAGGGTGACAGTGTGCTGGGCAGTGTGCTGTGGGGAGAGGACCCCCCCAGAGTGCCAGGGGCAGCCTCTTCCCAAGGTCAAGCAGGGGTCAACAGACACCAGGGTCACTGTCTACCTTGCGGTTGGTGCTTGGAGGTCACACCTCCTGCGTCCCCTCACCCTCTCCAGCCTAGTTCATCTCCACACAGTGTTCTGAGCAGGCCCAGGGTCCCGCTCCCACCCTTCACCTAGGCCGTGCCTTCATCCTGACCCCACCTCTCCCATCACCCATGCATCCGCTACGTCCTCCTAAGTGCCCTTCCTCCAGGAACCGAAGCTCCAGCCAGATGAGGACTCCCCGGGTCTTCACTGGGTCTGACTCAGCCCTGTGTCTGGTGAACCTTGACAGCCCGGCCCTGCCCAGGGCACACACGTCCCTCTGGGAAAACGCGCCTTGTTTCTCTGTGGTTACGGCTCTTAATCACACTCCTTGGACCCCAGAGCACTTTGGGGTGGCAGCCAGGCCTCGTGCACACCCCGCACACAAACCCCGGCTCTCCCCAGTTCTGCCCCTCCTGAGCTGGGCTGTTGTGTGGAAGCCACTGCACCTCTTCAAGCCTCTGTTTGTTTGTAAAATGTGGACAATGACAAGTCCTCCCTGGTAGCCTCGTGTGGGTCTGGGCTAAGCTGTGGGACCCAGCACAGGCCTGGGTCTTGGTGGCACATGATACACATCGGTTGGTTGGAAGAATCCCTTTATGTCTGTGGTCTCTGCCCTGCCAACTCCTCCAGGACCAAGACTGCACTTCCTCCCTGTCCACTGCTTTGCAGGCGGACAGCCTGACTGAGCACGGTTCTCTGGTGGCTCTTGGGACAACCAGCAAAGGGTTAAGAGCGTCACAGGGTTAAGAGTCGGGATCCCACGTGACCCTTGGTTGCGCAGCCTCAGGGTCTGCGGTGGCTGCTGTCTTCCACACTCATTTTTTGCCTGTGGCTCATGGAAAGTTTGGCTCCTTGAGCTCCAGGACACTCCCTCTGGGGCCCGAGGCCTCAGTGACACTGGTCCTGCCCAGGAAGGGCATCCAGGGCCGCCTGCCTGCCTGTGAAACCTTGGCCAGCGGTCCCTTTGCTCCATCTCTGCCTGACTTCCTGCCACCCCCGCCCATCCCAAGGCAGAGCAGCAGCCTGCCTACTCTGGCCAGCAGGGCCTCTTCCCAGCACACCGTCCAGGAACACTTTCTGTTTGCGGGGGGGAGCCTTTTCCTGCTAATGTCCACAGCATCTGAGAGCTGCAGCCCCTCGAGAATGGTCCTGAGAAGGGCCAAAATGGATGTGGACATCTGCTGACCGGAGTCAAATCCCAGCTCCACGACCCAGCTGAATCTGCTTCTTCACCTCTCCAAATCCTGCCATCCTCAGATGTAAAATGGGAAGAATGGAGTTCCCCTTGCCGGGGATTAAGTGAGATAATATTAGATGCCCAACATTTATATTAAAGAAATGATCAAAGTTCATATCGGAAAAGAGCACGGAGAGCCCCCTAAGTAGAATGGGTCTTGTCCAGCTGGCCCTTGTCCAGGTGAAAACAGGGGCCTAGCTCCCACCTCCAACCAGAGCAGGAAAAAGGAGCTTAGGAACTGGCCTGGCTAGAGCCAGGCATGGCCAGGAGGAGGCTGGTGCTACCCACTGTGTGGCTGGGCCTCAGTATCCCCAGCTGTACAAGGAAGGGGTTGAACAGGGACTATGGATTCCACCAAAGTACCTCAGGGGTATGAGGCAAGTGGGGCAGAACTCTCCCTCCACCCTCCCCGTCGGGCCATTTCTAGGGACCAGGCTGTGGGATCCAGGGAAAAAAGCAGTGCCCCTTCTGCAAGCTGGACTTGGGATTGGCTCCCCCTGGCGGAAGGGAGTTCGTGCCTCCTGCAGAATGGGCTTCGCTGGTTTCCCCAGTGATCCGAGATGCCCCTTGCAGAACCAGTAGGAAGTGTGAGTGGCACAGCCAGAATACTGCCGGGCCTGAGCCTCTCTTTGCCCTTGACCCTCGCTTTGCCCTTGACCCAGGGTCTCAGCGTGTCAGGGCTTGGGTGGCTGGAGTAAGAGGCAGGGGAGAGGCTGACGGTCAATATTGATCTTGCTGAGTTAGGGAGGAGGATGAGGAAGTGGGAATCCTGGAGTGGGGCTTCCCGAAAGAAAACTGCATCTCTGGCCTCCCAGTGTGTGCGTGGGAACTGGAGAGGCAGGCTCCACACAGGGTTCCTAGCTTGCGTGCTTACTAAAGCCACAGTTGCCTGGCCCCTGCTTGGCCTCACGGATCCTGTGCTCGGAGGTCGGGGCTTGCACCACTCTATTTTCAGCAGATTCCCTGGGTGAATATGCAGCAGCCAGGCCTGCTCCTGAAGTCGAAGACCACAGGTTCAGTGTCATTGTTATTATGAGGAAACTGAGACCCAGAGAGGGGCCGTGACTCAGCCAAGATCACACTGGGAGCGCGTGGCGATGAACACCCCTTTCTCTTTGGAGGGAGGTGATGATCCACTTCTAGCTGCATCCACCTGGGTGTGCAAGGGGATGGCTGGGCCAGGCCACCCTCAGGGAAGTGGCTTTGGAAAACTTGGCGGGCCTGGTGGAAAAGGGAGGGTGGGGCTAGGCCTAGGAGGAAGGACAGGAGAGGGGCCCGTTCCCCTGAACCAGACCCACTCCAGCTTGCCCTGTGCAAACACTCCCAGCACCTGCTGCAGGACATTTCCGGGAAGACTGGCTAGGTCTGGGCAAGCGTCTCTGCTGCCGGGGCCCCATGTCCTTGAAGGTATAAAACCACCCCAAGGCAGGTTCGGGGCACCCTCAGCCCCCTGACTTGTCTGGCTCTGAGGCCTGTTCTGCACTCCGCCCACCCAGCACCCTGGCTGTCAGCCTCTGCTCCCCCTTTCTTCTGTTGTCGCTGAGTAGCTGTACAAAGCTCTCCCCAAGCCCCCAGCTAGCTCTCTCTTCCTCCCTCCCCCAGGCTCCCCAAACCTTGCACCTCCAGGTTCAGCCCGCAGGCCCGAATTCTCCAGGGGACAGGTGGCTGGTCTAGCTCACCCTTGAGCCTTCCTTACATGCCAGCCAGGACCCAGCAGACCCAAGGAAGCAGGTGCTTGCTGTGGCTCAGACTCCAAATCTCACGTCCTGATCTCGCACTCCGAGCCTGCTCAGCAGCTGCCCTCAGCCCTGGACAGCACAGCCCTTGCTCATGGGGTGAAGAGAACAGCAGTGCCCTCAGGAGAGGAAGGTTCTGGGGATCAGCAGCACAAATAGTAAGAGGTACCTGATCCTTGGTGGCACCCAGCATTGGCCACTGTCCTGCAGGGGCAGGTAGGATGCTCCCACCCACTCATGTCCACCCCTCCTTCACTCCAGCAGCGTAGGTTTGCAGGGAGACTGCATGTGAGACCGCCAGGGCCTTCTGTGTGCCTCATGAGTGCGGACAAAACACCTTTCACACTCCAGGAGCACATACTTGTGCAGACTCTTGCTTCATGACTTCACACCAGCGGCCCGTGGTGGGGTAGGGAGAGGGCCTATGGCAGGAGCCTATGGAAGGACCTGAGCCAGGCGTGCAGGCTGCTGGTGCAGACAGCGGAGGAGGCAGTAGTTAGGAGAGGATGGGGGGGGTGAGAGGGAGGGAAGTTTCTCAGAACACCAGTCATGATTTCCCGGCATCCAGAGGCAGAAAAACACAGCCCAGGGTGAGGGAGGTCCCCGGAGGGAACAAGAGCCCTGCACTTCCAAATTAGGAGGCCGGGTGAGTCTGGGATCAGGGTCTTTGAAGAAGCCTCTTTGCCTGTGAGTCTTGCTAAACTTCATCCTCAAAATAGGGCTGTTTTATTAGAACAAGAGCATGCTGTGAACTATACAGCATCCTGTCCCAGATAATACCAGTGTTTTCAGTGGAGCTGCTGCTTTTTGACAGTTAAAGGCTATTTATTTCTTCAGGTCAACTGGGCCCTCCGAAGCTTGGTAGACGCCGAGGCCAAGGACCACCTGTAGGCCTCTCCTATGCTGCCACCTGCTGGCAACTTTCTGTAATGGCAGCCCACGCCCTTAAGCCCTTCAGCACTGCCCAGGTGGAAAAGCTAGGTTTAAATTGGGAATTCCCCACGCAGGTTTGTGGGTTCCTAGGCAAGGTAACAACAGAAGTCCCCAGGTGCTTCTTGTTCATCTCAGCCTTGCCCTGCACTCTTACTGCGAAGGTCTTTACTGTGTGCATAAGTACCCTCCCCATAGACACTCCCTTACCCTGCAGCAAAGATAGGCTGGGAAAGTCGCTGGCGCAGACCCTGGAGCTCTGGATACTCAGAGCTTGGCCTAGGGGCAACTGTGGCCTCTGGGGGCACAGCACCTTGGTTCTGTGGGATCCAGGCCTGGGGCTGGGGTGGGTTAAGTTGATCAACATTGCATCTGCTTGGGAATGTCCTGGTCTTAGCCCAGAAATGATGCATCAGCAGTTGGGGTGTTTGGCCACTCTTGTGGGCCAAAGAAGCTCCAGGCCTCTGCATCCCCACCCTGGGTCATCGACCCCCAGCCCCTTTGCAGCCTATGGGCCTCCTGCAGCCGTCCAGCTCTCCAGCCCCAAGGCCCTCCTGGGACACTTGGTTCACAATATTGTTTCGAGTATAGAGAATTTTCCTTCCCTTACCCCATTCTCCAAACCTCCCTGGGTGCTCTGAGGGCCAGGGCTTGTCTGTGAGGTTGGGCTGAAAGAAAAGAATGGAGAGGACTTTTTCCAGAACAACGTCCTCTTCAAACAAGGGAAACTGAGGCTCAGACGCTCAGAGGACACAAGCCTTACCTGGAAGCCCCCGAGGGAGGCTTTAACACTTGGCTGTCTGTGGCAATCCATATCCACACCCTTGCTCTTGCTAAAGGTGCCCCAAGTGCCTGAGAAAAAGCTGACTCCATCCCTTGCTCTACTGATGGGACATGTGGTCCAGGCCTAATCCCACAGCGATTGGCTCAGCCCCGAGCATGTGACCTAAGCACCTCCAATCAGAATGAAGATTACGACTTTCATTTTGCAATAGGATAGATCTAGAACAGGAAGCGAACACCTCCTAGGGTGATGTGCTTGACCAAGACAGGGAGACAAGAAGTGCACAGGATTTTGTAGCTATTTATTGCACTGAAAACACCAAGAATAAAACAGACACCCCTTCTTCCCTCCCACCCCCCAATAGCAGAAATTTTGAGCAGTGGTCATTCAAGTTCACAGCCACGTATTTTAAAAAAAGAAAAGAAACAACTGAAACAAAACCCCAAACAAATAATAACAAAGAAACCAGCATGGGGAGTCTGGCAAACACATCCCCCAAAGGGTCTCCCTTTCAAGGGAGACAGGAGGCCCTGGGTCAGGATTTGCGCTGCAGTAGCGCAAACTAGTAGAGCACTTTCCTGTAAATGGAGTTGCATGCTGGAGCCTGGGTTTTGACTCGGGTCTGGATTTTTTGCATCTAAAGGGTGTTCACGAGGAGCACAGAGCTTGTCTGGTGAGGTTGGGCTCTGGGCAGCTTTTTCCTGCCAGCGTCCCCTGCCTGTTGTCTGCAAGTCACCATGGTGCCCTGGGGCTGACACCAGGTGGCTGCCTACCCACAGGAGTGGCCTGTGTAGTGGGGCTCTCTTAGCCCGTGGTGGGGACCTGCCTTGACTTCTCTAGCACATGGAGAGGCACACAGTGGACAAGAGGTGCATCAGCCAGTGAAAGGACATTGGGGTCCTACAGCCCGGTTTCCTCTGATGAAGAAACCAAGGTCCAGAGAGGGGAGAGGACTCGTCCAAGGTCACACAGAAAGTCTAGTCAGTGCTGACAGCTAAAGCCTGCGAGCCCTGCAACCATTTCTCTTTCCCCTGCAGTCCACGGCTGAAAAGCAGCAGACAGGCACCAAAGAGGGGAAAGAAAGGCCAGCAGGGGAGAGGATGGGGATGGGCCAAGCCTAGAAGCAAACAGGAGGCCAGCCAATGGCAAGCCCTGTAAATTCTCACAGGTGTCCTGGGCTTCATGTTCACCATCCATTTGATCCTCCGTCAGCCTGGGTAGGGGTGCTTAACCCGCCTTTAACTGACAGAGAAACAGGCTGAGGAAGGGACCAGAGCAGGCTCGGTAATTCAGCATCCCCGGGTGAAGCCATACCCTCACGTTTGGCTGGGGATAGCCACAGGGACCTGGCAGGTCGCAGAGGGACAGGTGGCTTTTCTGCTGGGACAATGGGATCACTGGGCCTCACTGAGGAGCCCTCTGGGCCAGGGTTAGGCTGAGAACCCACCCTTGGGCCTGGGAAGCAGGATCTCTGCCGAGGACAGAGGCCAGTGATGGGCCAGCTTAGAAACCAGAGGCCTGGGCGGCCACTTTCCTGGGCCTGCAGCCTGGCCTGTCTCACCTGTCCCTGGGCAGCAGGACTTGAGAAAAGAGCCCAACAGACAGCTCGTGATTCGGGGGGGAGACTCAGAAAGTTCTGGATTAAACATTCCCACCAGTTCTGCTCCAAACAATACCCAGGAGGGTCAGGGGAACCAGAGGTTCCCCTGGAACCCTAGGGATGTGGCTCTTCCTCCCCTAAAATCCTCCAGAGGGGACAGTATCTCATGCTGGCAAAACACGGCCACACAGAGGCCAAAAGCACAGAGAGGCAGCAACATAATTCCAAGTCGGACATTGAGAATACAACCTCTATTAGTATTCATTTTTTGTCCAAAACATATAGATTGATTTGTTGAATGTTTTTCATTTCTTTTTTTTTCAACATACTTACTGCATATAAAGTCATGCAAAGAAAACTGCAGACAGGAGCTCCTTGCGGATGGGCCAAGGCATTCCACGTCGGGGCCAACCCAGGGGCAGAGGACAAGGGAGGGGTGGAGAGAGGGACGCTGCAAACCCGAGGGGCAGCGCGAGGTGTGAAAAGTTGAGATTCCCATCGGAGGCCAAAGAGAGCAAGGCGACTGCGACACGTGCTTGTGGGCCGCCCCAGAGGGGCTGGGGGTGGCACACAGACACGGCGGAATGGAATCCTGGGCAGGACCCCACCTTGCAAGAGAAGCAAAGCGGAGCCCAGACACCTCCATCCTGACCACCCCTCCCTCTCCTGCCTTGCCGCTGTAAGTCACACTACCTCTCGAGGCTTCCGTAGTCCCGGGGGGAAGCCCCGCACGGGCTTACCTCGGGGCCATGGCAAGCGATGGCAGAGAGGCCATGCTTCCTGGGGTCAGGTCCCCAGATAACCACTGGGGACAAGGTCCACCTCAGAAATGACCAAAAAAAATGTAGAACAAAATAAAAACTACCCCTCATCCCTTCTTCCAACCCCTCTTCCCAACCCAACCGTCCTCAATAAGTCGAGAGGTCTAGTTATTACATAAATATCCATTAACGTGAAATCCATTTACGAAATACACAGAAGTCTGGCTATAAAAAGGCATGCGGTCCAAGTAGAAGAGATACCTAAACGGTGCTTTCTTTTGCCCCTGAAACACCATCAGATTTCTTCTCTCAGACTGGACAGAGCTGAAATTCTCCAGGGGTAATGGATGGGAAGGTGGGTGAGCGGGTCAGTGTCGGAGGGCTGCGGTGGGGACAGCTGACGGGGTTGAGCTCCCCACACTGTGGCGGGTGGCGGGCAGCAGGTGGGGAGGGTCAGCAGACACCACGAGGCCAGCACGGGCATGGGGAGAATCAGAGCAGCAGTTCAAGGCAAGGGGCTCCTGGCATCTGCTCCTCTCTCCCTCTCCCACAGGGAGATTAGCTTGGGGCAGTTTTTGGGGGGGCTATCTGCCCTTCCCCAGGGACCCCAAATGAGATCCAGGAGAAGGCCGGCCGTCTGTGCCATCCACCCCTCCTTCTCTTGACCCTGGTGAACCCACAGCTGAGGCAGTCTAGCCTATAGCCAAGGCCAGACCGGGCCCACGACAGCTGGGTGGAAGTTGGGGGTCTCCGGGGCCAGCGCCCTGGGCACCCAAGCCCACGAGGTCCTGCCTTGGCAGGGAGAGAACAAGTGAGGCGGGCGGGGAGATCTGGCCGTTTGTCACGAAGTTGTGATGCTCTCCGTGAACAAGCGGGTTTCCTCGATGCAGGTGCAGAGTGACAGTGGCGGTGTCGGGGTGAGGTGGTAGAGAGAATTCCAGCAAAATCCAGTGGGAGAACCAGCAGCACATTCCACGGACAAAGAGTGGATCCCTGCGACACAGCAGCGCAGCGACCCCGGCCTGGTCCTTCAACTGTAAGACACGATGGGGGGTGCTGTGAGGGAGGCACGTGTCCCTCCTTCCAGGCGGCTCGCCCTACCCAGACCTCTGCAGCCTCACCGCGCCAGACATGCCCCTCCAGCAGATACCCCTCCTGTTCCTCAGATTACCCTAGAGGGGACAGGAAGCAAGGATTCTTACTGGGGCAGGACGGAGGGTGCCCCGGATCTGTGGAAGTGGACGATCTGCCATTTGCCATCCCTGCGGTGCCAGACGCGGGTCTCCTCTGACTGGGCGGTGCGGGGGATGCCTCCAGCGTCCAGGTACTGCGTGATGCGGATGTAGGCGATGCAGGCCGACTCGTCACCCATCAGGTGGATGTGGGGATTCAGGATAGTGGTGTGCACAGGCTTGCTGTTCCGGGACCACACTGGAGGTGGGACGGGAGGGGCAGAGGAGATGCAGGGCGCCTTCTGCCTCCCTTCTGCCTCCCTTCCTCCACTCTCTCAACACCCGGAAGCCCTCTCTGTCAATGCAGCCCCTCTGTCTGCCTCACTCTCGGAAGGGAATCTCTGAGACAGGCCTCAGCCACCTGGGAGTCAAGGCAGAACTTGTGGGTAACAGAGGCGTTACAGCCCAGCTGAAAGACAGTGGGTTTCAGACATGCTGACTCCTTCAGACATGGCAGGGGTTTAGAGTCAGTCTCTTCACCCAGAAGAATGGGGCCAAGATGATCACAGAACCAGAAAAGCTTGGTCTCGCTAAACCCAGATCCCCACAGAAACCAGGCAGCACATAAACAAGGGAGCCGAGCTGGGGACAAAACGCTGAATGACAACTGGTCCTCTCCCTCTGGGTCAGGCAGGCTGTGGTGACAGGAGGACCTTGTCCTCTCCACAGAGAGTCCTTGCCCAAGACTTCTCCCACAGTTACCAACTGGATAAATTGTCATACCCGGTTTCTTAAGAGAATCTAGAAATCTGGATTTCTGTATGAAAACTTATTTTAAAATGATCATTCAAACTTGCAGGCCATATGAAAGGTCTGCAATCCAGATATGGCCCATATCCCCTCTACTGGCAAACTCCACATGTAGACAGTCACAGGAACTTGGGGAATATTAGAACTGTAGAATCTTAGAATCTTGAACTTTTTAGGATTACACTGGTAGTCACGGAGTGAGGTCATGGAGCTTTCCACAGTTAGAAGAAAATGACAGTTACGTCAGGCAGGACTGATAAAAGTACTGAAACCCACTCCAGCTGCAGGAAAGAAGAGCCACCACCACTATTATTGCTGTACTGGCTTGAGAAACTCACTTACAAAAGCACACAAAGACAATGACCCAGGGGTAAGTTGGACAGCACATTTTTGCAGTACTAGGGATTAAACCTATGGCCTTGCACATACTAGGCAAGCATTTTACCCTTGAGCTACAGCCCCAACCCTTTTTAAGATTTTTTTTGTCTTTGAGATACAGTCTTGCTAAATTGTCCAGCCTGGCCTCAAACTTGAGATCCTCCTGTCTCAGTCTCCTGAGAAGCTGGGGTTACAGGTGTGTGCCACTATGTCCAGCCGGGTTCTCCCTTGTGCCTTCCCTTAGACTGACCTAAACATGAGTCCTAATGAGTGTACAGCTGATTTAAAATACACATCCCCAGTTCAAGAAAATGTAATATAAATATCCGGTCTCTGACCCCACCCTCTGACTCTGATGCCTACCTTCATTTGTGAGTCATTTACTTCCTGAAAAATATGAAGTGTCTCTTTTGTTTTTTTTTTTATTTTGTGGACTGCAGAAAATATCCAGTAGCATCATTCTCTAATATTCTCATCACACTCTATCTAATCTTTAAATAACAATCAAAAAATCATGAGTCTCAGACCTATAGAACAACAGACTTGAAATTCTGCACTCTTAGACAGACAGAATGTAACCTTTGGTGTCACAGGTTGAGGACAGACCTCAGGGGTCAAGGTCACCAAAAGGCACTCCCATGAAATGTAAGGAGGCCTCTGCCAACTTCCCTGACATCTTATAGGCCTGGAGGCCCACAAGGCCATCCGTTTCAATGCATCCGTTGAGCATTTCTGGAAACAGATCCAGAAACACGAGAGGCCACTTCCTGAAAGAAAAGCAGTCAAATCAAAAGAAGTCAGGCTTCCAGTGGAGCTGGCCCAGGAAAATCTAGAACAATTCCAGAAGGTACAAACAGCTTAGCATTGCTGGGAAGATGAGCTTTGCCGTTTTCTGGTAAGGGCTGGGGTCTCCTGGGGCACCACCCTTGACGTGGTGTCTCTTGACCAGGTTACAGAGATGCATCCTGGTGGATAGGTGGGGACAGGGATGGGGACAGGTCCTGCACAGGGACAGCTGGGCAGCTGAGGTAGGACTTAGCCAGGAGTGAGCCTTTACTCTGGGTCTGGCTCCTGTGGGTTCTTCCTTGGAGGTTCTGTGCTAGATTTCGAGAGCCCAGGGACTGGGCTAGGATGAGGCCCACTGCATGAGGCAGTGAGGCTGGTCAGGGGCTGATGAATGGGCTCCTCTCTGTGTGGGCCCCTCCACTCACCCCTGCGCCAGCAGAGCTGAGTCTCTGCTTCCTTTCAGGGCCTGGAGAGTTTACATGGGGAACCAGCGCCCTCGGACCGCCGAGGTATGATGACGGCGGCAGTGATCTGCAGGGAGCTCCGGGGTGACAGGCACTCATGGGGTCCAGCCACTGCTCTTTGTATGAGAACTCAATCTCCCTTGCTAGCCTTAGAGAATCAGAGTTCAATTCAGTAAAAAAAAAAAAAAAAAAAGATGGAGCCTCCTGTTTTACAGCTTTTATCTGGGGGAGCAGGGGTATCCTGGAGCCTCCGTATTCTATAAAAAGTCAGCCAGAGGATGCAGGCCAGGGGAGGCCGTCAGCCCAGGCCGGCCGCTAGTGTGTGGATGGAACAGGCAGCACACAAAAAACAAGGGCTCCCGGAATGACGGAGTGACGCAGGGCCTGGTTCTGCCGCTGACGGGCGGGATTCCTTTGGACAAATCACTGCCCCTCTCTGGGCTTCAGTTTCTCCTTCTGAATGACAAAGATGATTCAGTCAGTAAAGTACCACCCTTGTTATGGTCACCATAGATGAGTGCCACTTGCACTTATTTCATGAAAACATTTAAAATTACATATTTCTTTTAAAAAGACTTTCTAATATAACCGTTACTGGACAATGAGTGTCACAGAATAAAATTTCAATAAGGCCAGTGAAAACAAAATAGTTACATACCCCCTGCCCCATGGTCTTGACTGCAAGACATCTGGGGATATGCTTGCTCTTTTTCTTCATTTATTATTTATTTTATGGTACTAGGGGTTGAACCCAGGGTCTTTGCAGGAAGCTACGTCCTCAGCCCATTTTGTTTTGTTCTGTCTTAGACCAGGGTCTCGTTAAGTCACCAAAATGCCCAGGTTGGGTTGAATATGTGACCCTCCTACCTCTGCCTTGCAGAGTGCCTGTGTATCACCATACCCTTCTATGCTTGCTCTTCAGTGAAAAGAGAAATTAGAGACTATCAGAGAGATGTGTTGAAGATAGGCTAGCAACTGAGTCTTTCCCTTGGTGAGGCCAGAGTATTGAAAGAGAATTAAAATCGACCGGCTTTCTCACCGTGCAAACTAGGGCTCTAAGTGGCATCTATATACACCTGAGATCACTTTGTGTACCCCCCACCCCCAGGGGTGGGGGCCCTTCACCTCGGTGGCCTGAACTGCATGACTCTAACCCGTGTGCCCTTTGCTTGGTCTCTGTCTGACCCCTGGGCTAGCTGAGACACAGACACGGGCAGAAAGCACCTTGGTCAAAGAAAAAAAAGAAAAGAAAGTGCCCTAGTCAGGCCAGGCCTCAGCCCACCAACAGCGCCTAGTTGCAAAACTCTGGAGGTCTCTCCTGAAAATGAGAGGCCCAGGAAGGACAGACACGTAGGACAGAAACCTAGACAAACAGGCGGGGCACAGCAGTGTGAGCTCGCTGCCCTCCCCTTTCCCAGACTACCACTCCGGGGGCATAAGCATCGCACCCAGAAGCCGGCTTGTGACCTGCAGGCCAGGGAGCCCGTCCAGGCACCCAGACCACTTGGGGTGTATGCCAGCAGGAAGGCTCCTTTTTCTGCAAAGTAAGGCTGTTCCCCAGGGTCAAGGCAGGCAGGGTGTGTCCCATGTACTCCTGGTCTCTGGGACTCCCTGCCCCTACCCCATCCTCAATCACAAGAGGCACAGCTGGCCACCGAAAGGCCAGGGATAGGAGAGACAACCAAGAGTGTGCCAACCCCCGTCTACACAGCAGTTTCCTCTGCACTGGCTCCTGAGCTGCCCCTGGGGCCCTGCCCGTCACCCTGCTGTGCCATCCGGCAAGACACGGAAACGAGAGCAGACAAGGGCACCCCAGAGAGAAGGGATTGCTCACGGTTTTCAAAATAGAATCGATGGAAGTCCAGGCCCTCCACCAGGTTCCCCAGGGCCTCAGGCTCGAAGGCTGTCATCCCAGGGTCGCACATCTTCCTAGGGGGAAGCCAGAGGAGAGGGGGCTGGGGCAGCTTCTCGCGGCGCCCTTGGAGGTGAGCCGTGAAGGGGGAATGGTTGCCCCCGCCTCACAGCGTCAAGGACGCAGCTGGATGGGATGGGGCTTGTCACCTTTCAAGTTGAGGGGTGAGGGGGCATCTCTAACTGACTGGTGCTGTCCAGACCGAGGAAGCCTAAGTTCAGGTCTTGCCACTTGCTGGTTATGAGACCCCAAGCAAGTGGCTTAGCATCTTGAAGCAAGAGCACCATGAGTGGGGGTGCACAGAAGGTGCAGCACTATGAAACTGAGCCTCCCCTCGGCTCACCACCCTGCCACCGAGCTCTGGGCAGTGGATCCCGAGCACTTTTCCTACTTTGTCCTCCTGGGATGGGGGAAGGTGCCATTCCTTCCTGTGGAAGTGACCTCTGCTCATCCAAGCCAGGTGTGTCGATGGAAGGGGTTTGCTTTGTTAGTTGGAACTGTGGCTGGCAGCAGCCCTGACTGTGAGCCTGTTTCCTCTTCAGGAAGATAAGGAAAGCAGCACTGGAGGAGGGGCTAGCTGGGAGCGTGGGAGGAGCACAAGGCTTGGCCAAGGAGGCCCCAGCAGCAGGAGCCTGGGTGTTTTCAGGGGGTTTCTCCCTGCCAGGTCTCGGCCTTCTGGAGGCGCTGGCAGCCATGCCAGTGAAGGGGACAAATCATCTACCCATCCTCAGAGTTACAGGATCTCTGGTGGCACAACACCGACCACCATGACAATAGCAATGAAGCCAGTACAGGACGCACTCCCCGGCAGGAGAAACTCCTAGCTCAGGGTGGAACTGAAGAAACCACAAGAACGTGGCAGGTTCTGCGTCCTCTGAGCTGGACAAACCCCTCATGGGTGACGCCTACACAGCTCCTTTGTCCACTCAGGATCTCAGTTTTGCAGCTGGTATAAGCCAGGGGTGGGGTCTGTGCTTGGACCAACCGGGGTGTTCAGGACCCTTCTAGCTCCAGAACTGTTTGAGGAGGAACGCTGAGGGCTGACCATGTGGCAGGCTGAGCACCCCGTAGAAGCAGCCCCGCTTGGGGAAGTGTCTGAGTGTTCCCGTCTCCTAGTTTAGACTTCTCAGAGACTGCTGCTCTAGATGCACTGTGCGTACGTGGAAACTGAAGCTCAGTGAGATGAGGGGCTTACTTAGGGATAGGGAAGCCCGGACTCAAGGGTACCATGGCCCTCGAGATCATGACAAGGGTTGGAACCTAGACCAAGACACAGATGCCAAAAGAGGTTTCATCACAGAGGTGGCAAGGGCCCCCAGGACCCTCAGGAATGACACTGAGAGTCTTAGGGCCCACACTTCCCCTTACTCTCTGGTTGTGCCTTTCTAGAGCCACAGGCATGATACATCCCAGTTTTTCTAGGGCTGGATGCAAAACCAGCACAGCAGCGTGTTTCTGTGCTTTTAGGCAACACCCAGCCACACACAGCTGTGCATGGTCCTTGTGCACATAGTCGCAAATGCACATGCAAATAAGTGCACGCACACACGTGTTTAAGTGCACGCCGGCCTCAGGTTCACCGTGCACCTTCCAAGGGCCTTGATCTCCAGAAAGAAGCTTTGCCACCCACTGGTCCTGAAAATCTCGCACGGTGAGAATGTGCCTGGCCTGCCACACCTTTGGGAAGGACCCTGCAACTCCCGGTACAGAGGAAACCAGGATAAGGCTGCCCAAGGAGCAAACCCCAGCCAGGTTGCCTTCACCCTTAACCCAGTGGCCAAGGGTCACCTACCTTGGTTGCAGCTTTTGTCCACCTAAAAGTCTACTTGTCGGTCACCAGGCACAGACCTTGCCGGCACTGGCCAAAACGCTAAGGCCTAAACCCAGAAGGTGGGCTCTCCCTAGGGCCAATCCAGGGGCTGCTTCTGAGCCAGACCAGGAAAGCAGGAAGGGCCACCAGGGAGCGCTCCAGCCCAGCCCGTGCACGCAGCAGCCCCTCCAACGGCGCGTGGGTGTGTATGGGAAGTCTCAGACTGCCTGTTTCATTTTATGCCATTTGTGTCCCTGCCTTCTTCCCTCAGACTGTAATGAGCGATGGCTCTGCTTCGAGGTGTTTGCACCCACCCCTGCTCGCTGACGGTGCCCACCCTCTTGGCTTTTTGCCCACTCCTGCCCAGCTGTGGTCGGAGGTCTGGGGAGGAGCAGCGCAAGGACAGGCCTGTTCAGAAGACCGAGGAGGGGCTGCCTCCCTGCCCTCCTTCAGACACTGGGATGGAGACCCCTCTTTCCTTGGCGAGCAGAGGGACTTCGCTGGGGTTTCTTCTGGGAATGCCGTGCGAGGAGGCGGAGCGGGAGTGGAGGACCAAAGCAGGCAGGAGCGCGGTGAGCAGAAAGCTCGCTGGAAGCATCAGGTCTGAACGCAGCCAGAACAGGAGCTGGGTCTCACTCACAGCATGCAGAGGGAGGGATGGGGTCAGCGAGGAGGAGTGAGAAGGACCCCCAAAGTCAGCCCTCAGCACCCTGAGCTGCAACCCAGGCAGGACATGCAGAATGCGCCCAGCTGACTCACGTGTAGGACTCAAAATCTCCATTGCTTATGGCTTCAATCAGCTGCTCTGTCACTTTTATAATTTCCTGTTTCCGCACTGTAAGGCAGGAGGGGACACAGAAGTAATAATAATGGTAGTAACAAAGCACCAACCTGTCTCCTCAGTCCTTATGCGCCAGACAGACCCTGCGCTGGGACCTGAGAAGTGTGCAGATTACCTCGCTTAGCCTTGTAGTTCCCCTGGGGGATAAATCCTGTAAGCCCCATTTCAGAGAAGCAACTGAGGCCCAGAAGGGCAAAATTCCCCGAACTACGAAGGGTAGAGGCAGATTTCAGCCGGCAGTCTCACCTCCAAGAAGCACAGAGGACATTCTGACTCTAGGCTTGGTTTGAACCCTGGTCTTGAATCCAAAGTATGTGTGCCTTCCCCCTAGCATTGCCACATGAATCTGAACAGTGTCCCTGTAACGTCATCACTAATAGTGTGAACGAGCGCTCCCCAGGGCCAAACCTGAGGCTACGCAGGAAAGTCTTAGGGCTTGCTGCTCCCTCATCTCTGCGTGAGCTTTCTGCTCAGTTTGGGGTGCCTATAGGATTCAGGCACTGAGTTGTCTAGAACTTTCTAGGATCAATGGATTCCAGTTGCTCTTCCCTGTCCGCTACTCAAACCTCTAACAGCTGGTCTTCTTGGGAGAGAGTTAAGCTTTCATTTTATCATTAGATGTGTGAGGTTCTGAGCCTTGGGTTTCCCATCTGTAAAGTGGTGATGTTACCACCTGTCATTCATTCTGAGCCCAATAGGTGATATAAAGAGCCCTGGCAGATCTGTGTTTAAATTCCAGCCCAGGTCCTTCTAAGCTATGCAGCCAGGGGCCACATGACTGCTGGTCTGTCAAATGAAGACACTGGTGGCCTGCTGGGGGCTGTTGGAGGGTGGGATGAAGTGATAAGCACAAAGCATTTGTCCCAAAGCCTGGCACACAGTAGGTGCCCATTGTATGCACTACTCATTTCCTGCAACCCCCACTCAGGGGAGGCCTCACTTGCTCCTCAAGAATAGGCAAGGCCAGCATGGCCCCAAGTCGCATGTGAGGTGCCTAAGCCTCAGTGGTGACGAAGTCTGAAGCCGTGTGTCCTGGCTTCCAGCAGAAGCCTCCCTCAGTCCTCAGGACCCGCCCTCCTCCCACAGACACTGGCTCGGCCTCTGACTCCCGGAAGCTGAGGCTGCATGACTGTGAGCTCAGGCCAGGCCTCAGAACTCACCAGCTGGGGCTGGGAGAGGGAGAACAAGGCTGGCTGAAGCCCTCGCCAGCCCCCTTCTCACTAGCTGCCCACACCACACCCAGGAGCTCACATCCAGTCTGGGGGCTGCAGAATCATGGACCATCCAGGCTGGAAGAACCCTTGGAAACTCGGGGTTCAACCTCCTTACCAAACTACTTCAGAAACTGAGGCCCGGGGGCTGGGGATTTAGCTCAGCGGCAAAAGCGCCTGCCTGGCAAGCGCAAGGTCATGAGTTTGGTTTCCGGTACCAGAGAAAAACCAAAAAAAAAAAAAGAAACTGAGGCCCGGCGAGGGCTTGGGACCTGCCCAAGGACATGGCCCGCAGCAGGCGCAGGGTTTGGCTCAGAGCCCAGGGCATTTTCCACAGGACCCTGGTGCCCTGACCCACCTGCTGTTGTGATGCTGGTGCCATGCGGTTGCTTGGCCTGTAGGCACATCTGGTCCTCTACTCAATGTATGCTCAGTGAGGCTGGGCCATGGCCTCCCTGGAGCCTGGAACAGCCCTGGCCCCTCAGGCCCCTGAGGCTGAGTGCAAGGTGAGTGAGCACCTGGTCCTGTGCTGTGCTCAACCTCAAGGTCTCATGGCACAGCTTCGCACGCATGTCACAAGCAAGTGGAAGGCTGAATGCCAGGCTCCTGTGGACCTTTAACCTCAAGCAGAGTCTGCAGCTCCAAAGCCCACTCCACGCCCTATCCCCGGGCATGCAAGGCCTGCTGGTGCTCTGTGGGTGGCCAGAGCAACTACCCTTTAATTCTGGTCCCCAGCAAACAGCTAACTCTTTTCTCCTGACTCCAATTAGAATCACCTACGCTGGGAATAAGGCCCTCTTTAGACTCAGAGCATCCCCACATCACTTGAGGATTGTCCTACTCTCTGGGATGTTCCCTGGCAGGGGTAGGGGTAGCACTCCACAGAAATGGAGGAGATGGAGAGGCAGGTGGCTCTGACCCAGAGTCTGGGGCTACCATCTTTGCCCCACCTCTGGATTTGCCCAAGTGACGTGGCTGCCCCAGGCCCCCCAAAACCCAGCCTCCTCTCACCTGAGGATAGGAAAGACTGGCCCTGCGAAGAGTTACTTCAGGCTGGTCATTCCCACACTGAATCAAAGCTGGCAACCCCAAGTAAACCCATGAGCTCCTGACTGGGCTTGAGACCTGTGCCACCACCCTGACCGTCTCTGCATAGGCTTTGAGACCCTTCCAGCTTATCATACCACGAGCCTCTGCTTATGGTCCTATTTCCCATGGGCGGCTTCTTACTGCATTGTAGGGAGTCCAGGATTGAGGGTTTGGATTCTGGAGCCAGAGTCCCAGGGCTTGGATTATGGCCACCACTGTATGCCCTTGGGCAACAGACTGCCCTGAGCCTCAGTTTCCCCATATTATGATGAGGATACTAATAGTACCCACCTTATCGGGTGGCTCTGAGGATCAAGTGAGGTAAGACTATTGGTAGAAATAGCTTGCACATGCACAGTCCCCACTGAGAGCCAGCTGCTATTCCAACCCCTAATGTCAGCTAATTCAAGTAAATGGTGAGGCCTCCAGTTAAGTATTCAGAGCAGTTCTGGCTCTCCACAAGAGAGCTACCATTTTTACCATCTGGAGGTCTTGGAATTGCAAGCTGGTCCCAAGCACAGCCTGAGTCTCTAGCCAGGGCAGGCCTGCTTCCCAGCAGCCTGACATGTGCAGCTCGGCCTCCATTGGAGCCTTAGGGACAGCAGCTTGCCAGGCAGCCCACTGCATTGGTGCACAGCTCTCACTATGTGGAGCGCCTTCCTTGCAGCTGAAATCATTGCCCCACAAAGCACCTAGTTAGGGTCCTGGTCTTCTTTCTGCCTTCTGGGACCCTAACGCGAGCATCTACTTTTCAGTTTCTATGCATCACCTCCAGCAGTTCAGGGCTCAGAGCCTCCAGGCTGTGGTTTCCAAGTCCCGCCTGCAGCTGGCCACCCACTCTTCAAGCTGTCTAGACACTTCTGTGAGTGTAAAGTGTGTCTCAGTTGTGGCCTGGACAATGCAGAATGCCAGGTGTGGAGTGTCACTGTATCCTCTCTCCAATCCTGGACTCTATACATCCATGAATGCAGCCTGGGCCAGTGCCTGACTTGGCTAGCCCTCTAGCCTCTTGACGCCAAGTTTGTCAGCAGCTGAAGCCCAGCAGGCAGAATGCCCCTAGCTTTGTTCTCTGGGGCAGAAGACCTGGCTACCTGGTGCTTCTCAGACCTGAAGTCACTCTGGCTCTGGGCCATTTGCACACCTTCAGCACCCCCATTGCTGTCCAGGGCTTCAGCCAGCAGCAGCTCTGGTATTTCTTCTCTGCGAGGAATTCACCCAGACAGTGCAGGCATGCTTCTCGACAGAGGAACATTGAAGCCACAGAGAGGTCCAGGTACTCTCTCAAGACCGCCTCCCAGCATGCTGAGAGCAACACGATAAGACCACTATTCCTGAAACTTCCCAGAATGTCTCTGCCCAGACTCTGAGTCTGCTGTTCGGGTTGGAGAGAAAATTAATTTTGCAGAGAGCTGTTCAGGAGGAGGCGGGGAAGTGGGGAGAAGGCTCCTAGGGCAAGAAGCCTGGGCTCTGAAATATTCATGTCCCTTCCTTCCCTCTGGGGCATCTGTTCCCCAGAGGCTGACATATCTAATTAACCTTAATGTTAGGTCAGAGTCCGGAGTCCACCCCACCAGCTGCCGTGCTCACTTAGTAAGAAAGCTTAACAAGTTAACACCAGAAGATGTTCTCGTCCCCGGGAACTTTCTGCGGGTCTGGGGAGGCTGCTGAGGGACAAGGGTTCTTCTTCCTCGCCACACCAGGAGAGGCTCTTTTCCTGCAGACACGGCCGCTAGGGCTTTTTATCATGGGGACACGGAGGCAGGGAACGGGTTCTAATTCTGTATGTGCCCTTCTTCTCTGGGCCACAGTGTCTCCTCTGTTAAAGGGGCAGAAGTGAACAAAAATTCACAACAAATTGTCCCGTCCTGGTCTACCTGAAGGACGACAATGGTGGATATGGGGCCTGAAGGGTGTGGCCCAGAGCCATGGCCCAGGTGGAAGGCGTCTTTGACAGCACTCGCTCCAATTAGCAGTGTGCACACACTGCATTCCGTTCCAAATGGTGCTCTGTCTAACATATAAATATTTGTCTTAACTAATCTTTCAGTAAAATGGATGTTCCAAGAATATGTTGCGTGGCTTTCTGACATTCAACTACGAACTCCAGTTGGAAAAAAAAGAAATGAAGATATTTTTAAACAACTGCCATGTGTTAAACACTGTGCGTGTACTTTACGTGCAGTCTCTCGTTTCATCTGTACAGTAATCGCCAAGGCTGCTACTATCATCATCACCTCTTTTCCAGTATGAGGCTCAGAGAGGTTGAGTAAGTTGTCCAAATTCATCCAGCATATGGACTCCAGGGGAGCAGTGCAGAGCCAAGCCACCTCCACGGTTCCTGTCTGCTCTGAGGCCAAGATCACGAGACCACATTCAGTTGCCTCGGAATCTCAGAGCCTGTCTCTTACTACGGGGGCAGAGAACCTCAGAGCAGCATAGAAAAGCCATGTCTCTGCCCACCACAGGCTTATGGAATTGGAATGCACAGGAGCAAGACCGGGAATACGATTAGAGGAGCACACTTGTGGGACCCACAATGCTGACCCTGACTGGATCCTTCCACATTTTTGAAAGGTTGCCCCTGGTGCCAGGCAGTGGTGATAGAATGGCCTCTGACTGGGGATGCCCCGAAGGGTATGCGGAGGCAGGCCCATCTTCCTGACTCTGGAAGGCTCTTCCAGGGTCAGGAGGCAATCGTGGTAAGTGGTGTGTAAAACTGCCCAACAGCCTGAGTCACAGTAATGATTGTATTTTAAGGCAAAATACCCCAACTCCCAAAATATACCTCAATTGTTCTCTCCAGGTAGATGGCCTTTTTCTATATTCCAAAGACTTCCCAGATGTCCCTGGCACATGCCAGAATGTGCTAACCCCTGAGCCACCTAGTCTCACTGTCCTGGCAAACAAGGACAGTCAGGTGCCCAGGCACAAGGGAGCAGAGCGACGTTGCTAATGCAGCATGGATCTGGTGTCCCCAAGTGCACAGAAATAAGCACTCTGTCCCTTCCTTGAAGCGCCTTCTACACATGAAGGCCCCCAGGGTGGCGATGGCCAGCCAGGCTCTGGCTGGGTTCAACTCCAACCCCAGCCTTGTGAGCCAGTTTCTCCAAGTCCTCTGGCCTGCTTCCGTGGCTAGACAGCGGGGCTGATCACACTGTGCACCTCACGGGGTGCCATGCAGCTCTAGTACATGGGCCTAGACACAGCATGGAGAACAAGCCTAGGTCTTAGCAGGTGCTCGAAGGTCACAGCCACGGGTGCTGCTCTACTTCCTCCCTTGCAGCCCCAGCTGAGGTAAGCCACGAGCTGTATTTGCCCCTGCCTCTCTGGTTGGTGTTGGGCAGTCGTGCCGCAAACTGGACTTGCTGGATTTTTGCTCTCTTCCTTTATTATTATCATTTCATGTTTTAAAAATCAACTCACTTTAAAGCACAAACTCCAAAACCCTTATTCCAAAGTGAAAATGACTACCGCCACTATACAGTATGTTAGAACTTTTGTCTAGTACACATTAAATCTATAATTCTAAATAAGAAAAACCCCTGTGTACCCCCTGTGGCCTAGTGCCACACATGGGGGAGCTATGCCCCATAGTGTACCCAGCTTGTTCGGAGCCAAGCAAGGCTCTGCCCAGAAGCAGGAAGCTGGCTGGCATGGAGCCCTTCTGGCCAGGGGCTCCCGGTGCAGGCTGTGCCAGTGGGCACCAGCAAGTCTGGGACCCAGACACCACAGCAAGGCCCTTCCCTACCTTTGGTGTCTTCATCCTCAATGGTGGTGTTGGTGCTCTCCGAAGATTCCTGCCAAAGAGAAGAAGGATGGTGGTGAGGCCTTCCTGGTGAGCAGGACAGAGCATGGCCGCCCCGGCTGCCTGGTGCTATCGCCGACTTCTGTGCGCCTCCTGGTTCTGCCATCCAGATACTTCCTGCAACCCTGCAGACCATCCAGCCAGAGGAGGAAGGGACCTACTGGGCAGGTGGCAGGGGTCGGGAGGAAGGGACACCTGCAAGGAGATCCCTGGCCTTTCTGGAAGGACTGAGAGGGGGATCCTGGGTCCTTTCTGCTCGAGGGGGCAGAGAGGAGATATGGAGGAGCAGAGAGACACCATGGCAGCCACAGAATAGGGAAAGAATACACACTGGCAGGAGAGGAAGACAGAGAGAGGGACGCCCAGTGTGAGAGAGGGTGGGCTTTCCAGAGGGGAGAAAAACCATACAACTGTGTGAGACAGCCATGGAACCAGAAGAAGAGGGAGAAGGGCCACAGTGCCTCACGTGGTGCCCCCGACAGAGGCAGGGCTGGTGGCTCCTCTGCCTGAGTGGCCTGCACAAGCTCACAGCAGCCTCTCGGCAGCTATGGCTTTATCCAAACCATGCCCCACCCTGGCCGCGACTGGTAGAAACCAAGCCCTGAGATGAGTTCTAGAGCAAAGGGGTGGGAGAAGCAAGAAGCCAAGGGTGGACATGGGATGGGGTTCAAATCCACCTTTGTTCCCCAGGAGCTTTCAGTTCTGCTGTCGGCCTGCTAATCCGAGATGTGGAGGGAGGTGTCAACAGAAACACGCAAACAACACACACACAACACACATATTGTCACACAAGGCACACGTACCACGCACGCCCTGAGCACCCTCTCCCCGCCCCGGGTTCCAGTGCAGCCTGCAGGAGGGAGGCAGGAGCAAGGGAGCAAGGGGCCGAGGCCCAGCATTTACCGGCGTGCAGGAGACGGCAGACACTCACCATTAACTGAACGCTGGAACTGGACTTTCTTTTCTGGAAAAACAAGGAGAAGAGATGGGACAGGAAAAGACACAGCATGAAAACAGCAGGGAGCAGAGAAACAACAGGGTAGGTTTGGAAGGAGGATGGGCCTCAGGGTCATCCTCTGTGGTCCTTCTCTGGCCTGGCCTCAGAACAAGGAGTCAGGGCCACCAGCCACACCTGGCCTGGTGGGGCCAAACCTCTCAGCCTGAAGTTCTGGGTCCTTGTGCACAGCAGCTGCCTGGGTCTAATGATCTAGTGGCCAAGCTCAGGGCCAGCCATCCCTTGGACCAGAGCTGCCCACTGCACCTCATTCTGAGGGACATCAGAATGGCTCTTGGATGCCAGTGGCCTAAGGCCTCCAGAATCCAATGCTCTTGAAGAACAAAAGGTGCTCAGGCCTGAAGGTGAGGTCCAATACATCCCCTACGCTCCCCAAGCAGCTCTGCTAAGAGGGCCTCGCTCCCAGGTAAGTGTCACTGTCACTTGAAACACTATTTGTTGGGTTTTTATTATTTTGCAGGGCTGGGATTGAACCCAGGGCCTCATACATGGTAGGCAAACACTCTGCCACTGAGCTACACCCCCAAGCTTGGGAAACTTGTCAAAAGTGCACAAAACCAGGTCCCCTCTGAGGAATTCGATTACAAGGTCTAGGTGGGACCTGACCACCTTCATTCTCAACAGTTTCCCCGGGTGACACTGGAGATACCAGGGCCAGGCACAGAGGCCTGGAGATGCTGCCTGCACTCACAGCTTCCCAGCAACTCTCTGATCCAGCTCCTTTATGCTGCGAGAGATGCTGGGGTGCAGCCAGAAGTGAAGCTGAGCCTACAGCCTGAGTCTCACGGCCTTGCCAGCAGCAGATTCCAGCGTTCAGAGGATGTGTGGCATCTCCAGGGTTGGCTATGGAGCCAGGAGTGGGTACAAATGCAGATCACCTTCTTCAGTCACTCTCGGAGCCAAGAGTCTTAAAGACTTGAATTCAGGTGAAGGTTGACAGCCCAGAGAAGGCCAGTGGGCTGCCAGGCCCACTCAGCACTCTCCTAGCAGGGCTGAGGATCTAGGCTCTGAGTGCAGGGCTCTTTCTTCAGCTAGGGATCCAGTCTGACGCCCTTGGAAGGCTCGTCTACCCATGATGATGCCCTTCTGAGAGGCCAGGGCAAAGGAGAGACTCAAGATGCCTCTAGAGTAGGCCTGTGCCTTGGGGGGTCACTGGACGTGCTCTGAGGGTCTCGGGTTTAATTCTGGGCTTTCTAACTCCACGATCCTCTGTGTGGCAGGACCTAACCCTAAGCCTCCAGCCAGGGCCTCCACAGATGTGACAGAAGCGGCTCCCTGGGCTTTTCCATGCTGACATGTGCCCACAGGACAGCAGCTTCCCAGCTGAGCTGGGCAGTGTGACTTCACAGCCAGCAAATTGCAAAAGTCTCCTCTCCTCTCCTCCCCTCCCATCTCCTCTCCTCTCCTCTCTTCTCTCTTCTCTCATGCTGGTTTCCCTCCCTGGCTGGAGCCAGGCCAGGTGCAGTGTGTAGAGGAAGGGGACAGGCCCACATGGCTCAGCCGTCAGTAGAAACCCGAGGAGCTGCACAGGGGCCAGGAGGTTCCAGGCTGGACACGAGGAGGGAACACAGAGCAGAGACTGCATCGGATTTGGACGCACAGTGACAGGATGGGACATGGGGAGAGAGGTCACGATGGCACGGATGGGACACCAACAGGGGCAGTGAGTGGAGTGAGGGGTGGAAGCAGTGGGCATCTCCTTGGAGAAGCCAAGGCCTAGAGGTGCCAATGCTTGGAGCTAGAAGGACTCAGCTTCCCTGAATCACAAAGGAGGGTGATACTAATCATCCCACACTGACCAGCACCTTCAAGTTCAACTGACAAAGGGGCTTTCACCAAGAGTAGAGTCACTGCTCTCAGAATCACACGTAGAAGTGAGGTTCAAAGTTTAGCGAGGGTGGTAGAAATTGAATGTGGTCAACATTAGCCTTGGAAAGCCCTGCAAGGCCCATAAAGCGCAGACAGTGTCATCTCTGTAACTCCAGCCACTCAGCCTTTCCTCCATCATCAGAACCAACCACTGTTCTGTTAAGCCCCAACCGGAATGGCAGTTTGTCACAAATGACCAAGTTGTAGAAAGAGCGTGGATTTCCTTCCTTTGGGGCTCAGTTTGTGTCTGCTGTGCTGGCTCCACCAGACCCCTCTGGTGTGACTTCCTTATCAGCTCTTGCCAACACCTGCTGTACATCCCTTGTACAGATCCAGGACCAGGGTTCCCAGAGGGAAGGAATGAAAGGTGAGATTCAAACCTACACTTTTTTTGAGACAGGGTCTCACTATGTAGCTCAGGCTGGACTTGAGCTCACTATGTAGCCCAGGCTGGCCTCAAATTGGGGTGATCCCCCTGCCCCAGCCTTTCAAGTGCTGGAGTTACACAAGTGAGCCACCATACCCAGCCAAATGTATGCTTCTTGATTTGAGGAAAATGCGACTGCTCTCTACCCCTGCTGCCTTTTTTCAGGGAACAACACATGGTGGACCAGGTTCCCCAAATCCTGGACTAGGCCTCCTGTATTACCCTCACCTTCCACCTGCCAAGGGAGAGGAGGCTGAGTGCAGAGATGGCCTCCCATGTTCCTCACGCACGCCCAGGCCACTCCGAGAAGCCACTCAGGCTCTGTGCTGTGCTGCAGGAAGCAGGGAGCTGTGCCCACTGGAAAATCTGCAGTGACAGCAGGGAGCCCTGTGCACTGAGCTGTCCTCGCCCTCTGACATGCTGGGCTTGCCCAAGAGGGGCTAGTCTTAGAGCTTCATCCCAGCACCAGCCCCAGGGAGCTCCCCGAGACCATGCCCACTGGGGCCTTCACCAGCCTTTGCCAGGGCCCCATCTGAGAGCTAGATGGACAGGTGCAGCCCCTTCTCTTCCACTGACCTTGCCCACAGCCCACCAGCACCTGTGGCCTTTGCCACACACACACTGGGACGAGGGAGCCCGCTTTCCCCGGGTGCCCATCGGACTCGGCTGTGTCTGCACTTCTCCAAAGACGACAGCCCACATACTGCAAACCTCTCTATTACCCCTTAAATTGGGAGAAGGGTCCGCTCAGGGGCACCCTGAAGTGCAGGCAGTCTAAAACCTAGAGCCAGAATCCATTACAGGTGCCTATTAACTTTACAAACAAAGTTGCCTCCGATCCATGGTTTCCAAGTATTTTCCTGAGCAAACTTGGTTTTCAAGACCTGAAAGCCTAAAATATAAAACAGAAAAGATTATCCTGATGCTGGTCTCCTGAGGATGTATCACCCACCAGCATTGTGCTAAGCTCGCAACACACATTATCCCAGCTAATCCACACAAATAGCCCTAGGAGGTGGACACCCATCTAACCTCATTGCATAAAAGAGGAAACACAGGCTCAGGGAGTCGAAATGACCAGCCAAGATCTAGCCACTGATTGACCCACCTCATTCTCTTAACTACCATGATGGCTGTGACATGGAGCTGCTCCAGTTCAAGAGGGTGCGAAAACCTCAGATCTTTGTAAAACAAGCCCCCTCCCCTTTCTAACTCCACTCCAGCCCCTCTGCTGCTAGAGGGGCCTCCCAGGAGCTTTTGGGTTCCATGGAGTTCAGTTTGAAAACCACTGACTTCTGTAGAGTTGTGCACTGATGCCAGACACATTTTGAGAAGTGAATCATGACATGATTGTGTCACGGTGCCATCGTCATAACGGGTGCTCACCAGTCTCTTAAGTACATGTGGCCCACTGCACATCTGTGCTGCACGGCAAAGCCCATTGCTCTGTACAGCATGGTACTGAACTGGACACTGCCGGCAACTCTATCCAAGTGGTGCTTGTGTGCCTAAATAGAAAAGGTACTGTACAAGTAGTAGGCATTAGGAATTTTTTGGCCCCATTAGAACTTCTGCAACCATCACTGTCCACGTAGTCTGTGGTTTCCTGAAGCATCGTTGTGTAGCCCATGACTGTACTGTTTAAGCGTCCAAGAGATGGATGAATGGAAGAGGGGGTTTTGTTGCCTTTTGCTTGTTTGTCTATCCATTTTTAAAGTGGAAATCTTGGAAATGATCACCAAGTTCACACCTCACCCATACCCAAGGGAAACCCAAGACAGAGGCAGTTAAGGCCAGAGACATCCAGCCCAGGCCCCTTCCCATGCAACCTCTGACAGACAAAGCCAGTGGCCGGAGACTGTAAGTGCCACTATAAACAAAGCCATAAAGCCACTGCACGCCTATAGGTGGTCATGCTCATACAGCGTCTTACACCTTCTAAGGTCCTCAGCCTGCCCAGCCCTGGGGCCCCAGCAAGGTGGGGCACTGAGCCCAGAGTGAGACAGGGTCTCAGGAAAGAAGAACCCACAAGGTGATTGAGGGGCAGGGGAGAAGGGAGCCGCAGAGAGCAGAGGATCAGGTCCCAGATGGCAGAGGGAGAAAAGAAAAGAGATAGAAAGGAGAGGCCAGCAGAGTGTGGAAGGAAGTAGCTCGGGCATCAAGGGTGGGCATAGGCACAGGCCCCCACAGGAGTCGGAGGGGGCTCTTGCCACTGAACCGTGGGCTTCAGTGGGGAAAAGGGACTTCTGGATCCCGAAGCCAGAGGGGATGGCTGTCCATCCTCTATTGGCTCTTTTGGTTGGACTGGTGTGTCCAGCAGGTCAGGGCCCCATTCCAGCCCACCCACACTTGGGCAGGAGGAGGTCACTCACCCCCCAGGACCACTCCTATCCCTCCTTGAACCCTTGTGCTCACCAGTTTTCCAGTCCTGGAGAACCCTCGAAACCTCCTCTGGCCTGCCCTCTTCCTTGTCCTTATACCAACCCCAGGCCATCTACCCTCCTCAAGCATGCAGAAAGGGTAGGTACAGAAGGCCAGGTCTGTAGGTCTGGGGGTGGCCTGGCCATGGATAAAACCCTTGTCTGTCCAGAACGCTGGCAGCGAGGCCCAGGTCTCACCTCAGGCCTGAAAGCCAGTCCCTTGGGCAGAGTCACTGGCAGAGACAGGCCCTGCTGGGCTCCCGGGCGTCTTACCTTCACGCCATCGTTCTTCTTGTTCCCTCCACTCTTCCCTCCTGTGGAGGAGAGAAAGTAAAGGGTTAGCAGCACCAGGCAGGGCACCAGGGCCCACAGCGCGAGGAAGAGCAGCATCCACAGCAGGCAGAGGGTGGACGGTGTAGGAACGGGGCTGGCTCAGCAAACCAGGGGAGGCCTCCCTCCTCCTCCTCCTCTTCTTCTGTCTCCTCCTTCGTCTTCAGTGGCCCGGGGACTGCCAGTGGCCCACTTGGTGGGCCTGAGCCCTAATTTTCAACGCTCTCAAGTAACCCTCCAGCTTCCTGGATTAAGGGAGGTGTCCAGCACGTCCCAAAACAGTGGGGTTGCTGTTTCAGCCCGGGGATTCCCTCTGGATCCCGATCACCACTGTGCTGATGGTGGCCAGCCCAGAGGCCTGGCTGCCTGGCCCGGGGCTGGATCCCCCCCCATCCTCCACCCTGGCTCTCTAATTTTAGCCCCACGCTGCTGCGGAGGTCATGTGTCAGCCCTGCCTACTCACGCTGGACAGCTGCAGGCTACATTTTGCCAGTGACAAGAAGCAGATGCCCCCCTTCGGGGCCCACCCTTGCCGGAGCACCCATGCCCTGCCTTTCTCCTCAGGCAGCATAGGCCTCCCCAGCCTCAGGCTCCAGAGCCCTGTGCTGGGGCTGACTGCGTCCCTGGTAGCAGGCAAGAGCAGAGCAACAGCTCTTAGGGAGGCCTCCGCCTCTGTCATTTTCCCTTCCTCTTCATTTCCTGACTGGAGCCTGAGGAGTGACCATCAGCCAGGAAATGGCAGGAATGCCCAGTCTGGCCCAGTCTGGCATCCAGCTGCTCCAGACCTTAAGCAAACGCCTTAAACAAAGTAGGGATCTCTGAAGTGCTTGGCACAACATTTAGTCTGCATGCAGGCAAGTCCTTCTCCAGGCATCCTCCAGAGGGTGAGCAGGGTGGACAGACGGGCAGCACACAGATGCCCCAGGAGCGCTGTGGGATGGAACTCATGGCTGGCCCACTATGAACCCTGACATTTCCACCGGTGGCCCCTCAGTGCCTTCGTCCAAAGTCTACTTGCAAACCAAGGGGAGGAGCCCCTCTGGGTCCTGAACTCGGGATGAGTGGCTGTCTGGTGGCCCTAAGGTTTGTGGGCTGACCCAGGGATGGACAGCAGGGAAGGGGCACTTGTCCCTTCAGCCCAGAGAGTGTCACCCCTTGAGCTTCAGCCCATTATTGCAGGGCTTTAAAGCCCTCGGGGCCATAGACTCCGATTTTCTCCAGATCTTCAGTCTGAGTCTCCCTATAACAATCTTCTGATTTTTAAGGGGTAGCAGCCTTTCCTGCCTCCCCACCGCCAAAATTTTTAAAACACTTCTGACTCCATAAAGTACATGGAGAGACTAGATCGAGCCCATGGGCCCCCGTGAGCTAGAGTTCTCCATGATGCTTCAGCTGTTAAAAAAAGACTCTGACTGTCTGGCTAGCTCATCTTTCAGTTCAAAGAACTGTGGGACCGCTGTCTGAGGAGAGGGTAACAAGGCGGTTCACCGTGGGGGCAAGGCCTGAGTCTGAGGTTCTGACTCGTGCCACCTCGGGGCCTCGCTCTTCCCAGCTGGTCTCGTCAGCAGGTGGCCCCTCTCGGGGAAGCCAGCCTGTACCCTAACAAACTGACCTCTGGCTGTGGTGCTAGCCCCAGCCCCCTCCCAAGGGCCCACTGGGTGAGCTCTGCCATATCTGCTATCTATATCTGCGCAGCTGCCCTGGCAGTGCCCAGGGCTCCCCAGAGCCAGGCCTCTCGAGGCACTGGCCAGGCACTGACCCACCGGCCAAGAGGAGATGCTTGCTAAGCCATGACCATAATCCCTTCCCCTTCTCTCTTTGGGGCCACGTGCCCAGGTAGCTGGGCACTCCCCGCCTTAACCAGCCTAGCTTTGGCTAAGGGCCAAGCAGGCTCCGCCCTGGTCTCTCTAGTGACCTAGCTTGGGTAAGGACACTCGCTCTGGCTTGCTCAGACCTGTGCTGCAGGCAGGCTCTGCATCGCCCTGGCCCTGTGATCTGGGGTGTCAGAGCCCAGCTCCCTGAGACTGAGGTTGTTTCCTGGTCCAGGAAAGAGGGATGGCACCAGCCCCCACTGCCTGTCACTAAGGCCAGCTGAGCAGAAGCCTGCTTAGCACAAGACCCCAACAATATGGGGCAATGCACTCACCCGTACATATACACCCTAGACCTGGCTCTGTCCCTCCTAGCCTGAACCCCAAAGTTACAGACTTCTCCTCTGGCTGGCCCAGACTGAGAGCCCCAGTGCTGCTAGCAGGCAGGTGAGCCAGACTAAACCTCAAACTGGGTCTGGCTGGCTGCCTTGCCTTTTTGGGTACATATGAGCTAAACCATGGTCATGGAGTCCTCTGCAGCCCCCACTTAGGGACCCAAGTAGCCAGCAAGACAATGTCCCGACAGACCAGTGCAGGGTGTACTGGGGACTCAGGCCCCACCACCTACCGGAGAAGTTCCTGGTGGCCAGCATGGTGGTGAGGATGGCTCCCTGCAACAGATAAGAGGGGCCGGGTGGAGTGAGGGGAAGAGGAGAGGCAGAGAAACGGAGGGGTGTGGGCAAGGGCAGGCAGTGCTTCCTTCAGAGACTAAGGCAAAGCCTCTGCCTGTCCCTCCATTTGTCCCCCACCTCACTTGCATCTCCCTCCCTGGAGAGGTCGCCTTGGGTTGGCACAGCTCATGGGACAGGGCCATCCCAGGAGCAGATATTAATAGGTCCTGAGGCCTGGCCAAAGCTGATGGGACTGAAGGAACCTGCCACAGAGGCTCCTAAAGGCCAGGGAAGTGTTCTCGTAGGCAAGGACAGCAGACCTTGCGCCCCTCTGCCAGGCTGATGGCTCTTTGCTCCAGGACTAGTTCATCTCTCACTGGCCCTTAGGGTCAGAGGCCAGGAGGATTCTCAGTGTAAAGGAACCCAAAGGACCTGGCTGATGCTGTCTGCTTCCGACCTAACTCAGCCATTCTGTGACTGTGACCGTCTCTAGTGTTGAAAGTCTCTCATTCCCGCATTTTGAGGCTCCGCCTGTGACACAGCTCCCCCTGTAGGCTGGGCTGGGATTTGGTTCTCCTGGCCTAGTGCCAGCACCGCCACCTTGGCCTGCATCCCCACACTGGTCCTCATTCTAGCTCTAGGAGCAGTGGGCAAGGAGGTTCCCACTGAGCTGGAGCCCTGTGTTTGTCCCTCCATGTCTGTCCCCTGTTGTCCTCCAACTTAGAGCTCCTCTTTCCCAGCTAGGGTTCCGCTGGCCCTGAGGGCACAGCTCAGGCCCCACCTAGTCACAGGTGGCTTCCTGAAGGCCACAGCCTCTCTCTGAGTGACTCAGCCATGCTCCCTTATTATGGGATCCTGCCCAGTCAGGCTTTGCCTGCAGGGCTCTCCCCAGCCAGCTGGAGCCGCTCACGGTCCCCCAAGGGGTTGTGCTCATACCAACAGTAGCCTGAGCAGGCTGTCCACGCTGCCTGGAACACCTTCCCCTGCCAGCTCCACACAGGCCAGGGTCTCCACTTAAACACCGCTGGCCCTAGGCAGGCCTCCTGGGATCCTGCCTGGGTCTTTCCAGACCCGGAAATGCCGCTACCCTGCTAAGTCCTCCTCCCACTCTGGCACAGCACTTACCACTGCACACCATGCTCTGGTTACTTGTCTGACCTCTCCACCACTGGAGGCTCAGTCGGGTGGGGCCAGGGGCTGATTCGTGCTCACTCCCCAAAGCCCAACCTGCTGTCTAGCATGCAGTAGGTGTCCCACAAACACTTGTCTGGAAACAGTGAAGGAAATAACTGGCGAGTGAGTCTCACAGTCCCTGAGAGGCTCAGGCCGGGCTATGCCCCTCTCCTGGGCTTGGAGGGTGGAGACACGATACCTTCAGTTTTCTCCTGGCGTTGAACTTCTTCAGGCAGTCCACGGTCTCCTGTCTGTGCATGCAGGAGGCCACAGTGGACCGGTGCTGCGGAGAGGGAGAGAGGCCATCAGGGGAAGGCAGGATGGAGGACAGGCCCGCCCAGGGCTCCCTCAGCAGGGTGTCTTAGCAGTACGTGGCAGCATGGAGAGCACACTTCTTTGTTCTCTGGAGTGATGTGGAAGTTTTGGGATCCCAGCACCCGTCAATGCCAGTGACATATGCAGGCACAATGCCAGCTCAGAACAGCCCTATTTCTCCACTACCCGCAAGTATCACAGCAGGGCTAGAGTTCTTTGGATTAAGCCCCATCAACCCCATCCTGGAGAGGAGAGGCCAGGGCCAGGGCAGAACCTTGTGGGGCTCCTGGGAGTACCCAATGGGGAAGGCTCACCGAGATCCAGGGGTGCTTGAGGGCCTCTGCGGCTGTGATACGTTTGGATGGGTTAATGGTCAGCATCTTATTGATCAGATCCTTGGCTTCCGGAGTGACAGTGTCCCATTCCGGTGATGGGAACTGGAAGGGGCAGAGGGGCCAGATTTGGCCAGACTGCCCCAGGCCACCCCTGCGATCCCCCAGCCCCTGACTGGCAGGGGAGCAGGCAGGGGTTCTAACACCTATCCACTGGGGCATCGACCACCAGGAGTGGGGCTCCTGTGGAACAGGGGTGGGTCAAGGCCTCCTGACTGATCAGAATGTGGCCAGAGGAATGGAGACCGTGGCTCACATCCTGACTCTGCCTCCCGGGCTGGGAGTCTTGTGCAAGCCATGAGACTCTCTGAGCCATTCTAAAGATGGTGCCAGTTTAAGTATCCCATAAAACTCTTGGTACATGGCTGAATGGATGCCAGCCTCACAGAAAGCAGTACAGCTTGGTAGTCAGATGCGTGAGTCATGTTGTGTGGGTTCAAATCCCAGCTCTATCATCTCCTGGGTGTATGCTCTGGACAGTTGCTTAGCCTCTATATGGCTCAGCTTCCTGGTCTGTAAAATGGGGATAACACCTGTGTCTGTCACAGATCAATGTGAGATTAAATACAATAACATATGTGAAACATTTAGAAGGGTGCAAGAGAAATATTAGATAATGTTATTGCTGATACATATGAAAGAAAGCATGGTTTGGGGCCTCCCCCCTCCCTCGCACCCTGCTTTGGTGTGGTTTTTGCCCTCTGGGACCCCAGAAATACATCAGTTTAAGCCCCTAATCACTGGGCACCTTGTGACGACCACCTAGTCAGGCTTCAAGCGCCCCTGGGATTTAACCCCTGACCCGGAAGTGAGTGACAAGGGGACCTAAGTGAGCTGGAAAGGCAAGAGGGATGTGTCCTTAGATACTGGAAGGGGACCAGAGGATGACAGACAGCGTGGCTGGAGAGAGGAGCGACACTCACATCATAGGCGCCAGCTTTGATCTGCTGGTACAGACGGTGCTGGTCCTCATCCCAGAATGGGGGATACCCAACCAACAGGATATACAGGATGACCCCTGGGGACAGGACCAGGAGAAACTTCAGCCCCATGTGGGGAGAAGCCATGAAGGGAGGGGTGGAGAGCAGAGAGGGTCCCAGAGTCGTGGGCACCCTGGGGCACTAAAGGGCCCTTGGATGGACTCACCACAGGCCCACAGGTCCACAGGCTTCCCATATGGGTCCTTCCGCAGCACTTCTGGGGAGAGGTATCCAGGTGTCCCTGCGAACCCTGCTCCCCAGACACACAGACAGGCAGACACACACACAGAGGTGGCACGTGAGTAACCTGGAGAAAGACCCTGCGGGAGAGGGGACGAGGTTGCCCTGGGGCTGGCGGAAACAGCCCTGCCGCCTCGAGCTTGGGAAGCCAGTAGAGCTTCCAGAGCAAGGAAGACAGCTACACAGCACGATTGCCCTGCTCCAAAGCCCACCGAAGGCACGAGAAGTGGTCCCAGCACAGCTTCCTGCCACACTCACACCCAGGACCCTACACAACCTGCCCAGCAGCCACGCTGACCCAGCTGGTGGCAACTTCAAGATGAAATGAGCTCTCCACGTCAGCCCCAAGTTGAGAGCTGAGCCCTTGCACACTCCCACGCCCCGCTCCCTACAGGAGCTGTCACGGTGCATAAGAGGCCTCTTCCGAACTCTGCCTTTGCCCCTCAGTCCCTGGGGTCCTTTCTTTACCTTCTAGGCCTCGGTTTCCAAATCTGTCAAAGGATTAGGGACTCCTATCTTAAACACCTCCCAGTGTTGTTGAGAGGATCAAGTGTAATAAAGGACCCCCAAAACATTTTAACAAGCAACCACGAAAACAGCTGCTAGTTACTGACTCTGTGTGCTATGCATCGGGCCGGGCACTTTCTATGCCCGGCCTTTATTAATCCTCATAAAGCCCTGGATTAACTAGCCATTATTGTACTCATTTTAGGAATAAGGAAACCAAAAGGTGAAATAATCTATCCAAAGTCATACATGCAGGGTCAGGATTTGAGCTCTGGTTCTTAAGCACTAGCTAGATTGCCCTCTGAAAAGTACTCCCAGATAGCTGAAATGCACCCAATCATACCAAAATTTCAAAGCATGCTGGATCATCTGAGTTTAACTCCTGGCTTCAGGTGCCCTTAACCTTTTCCAAGGTTCATAGCGTTTCCTCATCTGTAAAATCGGGATACTGATCTCCAGCAGCCAGGTGCAGGAGACCTTGTGGAAGGCCTTCCAATGCGAAGAACCCGCATTTCCGTCTCAGTGATGACCCTGTCCATGTACCTGGTCCCAGGGGAGATGGGGTGGCTTGTGCCCCATGGCTCTCAGGCTGAGTGGCATGGGCCACTGCTGCCAAGGCCCTGGCTGCCAGCCGCTGTCTCCAATCTACCTGCTTGGGCAGAGGGCTGTCCGAGGCGCAACTGTCAACACAAAGGCCACCCTGCAGCCCCCTGCCCCACTCACCAAACCATGCCTGCTGCTCCCCCTCCACCTCGATGGCCAGGCCAAAGTCGGCCAGTTTCACCGCAGCGCCCTTGAGCTTGGAGGCCAGCAACAGATTCTCCGGCTTCCCAGGACCAGGGAGAGGGAGAGAGGGAGGAAGGCAAGAGTCAGCCAATAGATGGAGAACTTCACCTGTGGTGCCTGGGCTTCCAGGAAGGGACAGATCAATGCTCAGGGCCCTGCCCCTACCTCCCACGCCAGCCACAGGACCCTGGGTTCAGTTCCCAATGAGGGGACTATCTTTTGTCAAGACCTCCATCTTCTACATCATAAAACCTTTCCTCCATCAGCCACTCCAAGTTGAGGGAAAAGTGGGGGCAGGGATAGGGGTGGTCCAGCCCTCAGGCAATAAGGGAGCAGCAGCTGCATTTATGGGGCTCCTACTGTATACCAGCCCTGGGCTGAGTGTTCTGCATGCATCCTCTCATTTGGCACCTCAGTGAGCCCTTGGCATAGGTATTCTTACCCCCATTTTCCACAGTGGGCTTCTTATGCCCCTTGAAACAGTCCTGCCTGTCACCACCTCAGGGTCTTTGCACTTCCTGTTCCCCTGCCTGTTTTGTTCTCCCCCCTCACTGCAGCAAGCTTCTTTTTATCCAGGTCTCACACCTAGACCTTTTGCCCTGTCTTCTGGTCCCCTGCACCTTGGGACTGAGAGCAAATGGGGGGTAAGAATGTCACTTCCATACTTAGATAACCTTGGTTTCTAACACAGGGCTGGCACCCCTGTTCTGTGGGACTTGGCCAGGTTACTTCCCTTCTTGGAGCTTTGGTTTCCTCTCAGAGAAACTGGGACAATGCCCAGCTGTCCAGATCTGGATTAACCCGGACAATCCATGCAAAGCACGTGCAGCTGTGACAGTAAGTGCTCGACGAACATCACTCATGTGGACTGCATGGGCTCGGGATCTCCGGAGACAGTAGATTTCCACTCCCTTTCTGACCATTCCAGGGGGGCTTCCAGAATCCCTCCTCTGACCTTCCACTGTCCAAAGCCAGCATGGACCCAAACAAATATAGATGCCTCTGCCTGGCTCATTAATGCCTCCTTTGTCCTCTAGGGACTGTACTCCCAACATCTCCTGGGTCTCCATAGCTGTCCTGCCCTGATTTGATGAATGTGCCACTAATTAGAGTATCCAGAGTGGCCTAAATTTGGGCTGCTCTCCTCCTTCGTGCTCCTGTGCAGGGGCTGTAGCTATAATGGGAACGGGCCCGTGGGAAGAGCTTCCCTGCAGTCTGGCCAGAGACCCTCTTCAAGTGCACACCTGCCTTGCATCTAGACCAAGAACCACGGAGCTCACTCCGCTACAGGTGAAAAGCAGGGACTTCAGAGGTAGCAGGGCTCAGTTCAGATCACTGTGCCTCAGAGAGGCCCCCAGACCACCTGGAGCACGCACTGTGAGAATTGCCAGGGTAAGGAGGACCCGGAGCTCACATCCTTGGTGGGAAGGGGGACCAGAGCCGCCAAAGACATGGGACCTCCTACAAATCTGCCCAAGTCCCTCTGAGCCCTTCTGAGCTGGAAGCTTGATCTCAGTGTGGTTCCAAATGTAAGTCAAGGAAAATCTCTCACCACAGGAAAGGGCAAAGGAGCATTCCCCAGCTGTGCCGGGGCGACCCCATGGAACGTGAGCTCATTGTCACCAAAGGCCCGAAAGCAGTGTCACCCTAAAAGGACTGCTGCAGAGGCAGGGGCTAGATTAAGTGGCTTGCTCCATCAGACTCCAAGGTCACAGATCTGGGGTGAGAAGACCAGGGTTCCCTCTCCTTGCTCTGGCACACGGAAATGCTTGTCCTTGGGCAAATTCCTTGGGTTCTTTCAGCTTTCCTGGTTTCCTGTTCTGCAAAACGAGGGTGACCTGAGCTATCATCCACTGCTACCAGGAGACTCAGCACAGAAGCTCCATGAAGTCTGCTGACACCAGGGCTGTGAGGCCTGGGCCAGCGCTAGATGGCTTGGTCCTGTCCATCTCCTTCTTCAGGAGAGAGGAGGGAGGGCTCAGTGGGCTCCAAATCTTGGTTTTCTTGTCTGCTGCCTGCCATAAACCCAGAACAAGAGGAACAGTGCTTCTGTATCCCAGGCACTGTGCCGTCTCACTTGACAGCCGCCCCAGAAGCTAGGGTTGCCATGGAAACCACTGCTGTAAGGAAGCCAAAGTGCAGGGAGGTCAAGGCAGTCAAGGCCAAGTAGCTGGAAAGCATGGTGCCCTGTTGGGAGACGGACCCAGCCTGCCTCCTGCCCCACCTCCCTAAAGCAGCCTGCACTTTGCTAGACCCGGTACAAAGTAGCTGGGGCTGGGAGTTGGGAGACCTGGGACCCAAAGCCAGCCACTCTGCCTTCCTGAGCTCAGTTTCCTCACCTGACAGCTGGGGAAAAATATTCCCACCCACCTAACTCAGAAAATTAAGGGGATTCCAGTGCCACCCAGCTCCGTGGGAGGCAGGAAGTGCAGAGGGCAGGGGCTCCAGGTGGCAGGCTGGGCTGCACCACAAAACACGCTCACCTTCAGGTCCCGGTGCACCACCCCCATCTGGTGGCAGTGCAGCACGGCCTCCAGGATCTGCTGGATGCAGTGACTGGGGAGAAAGAAGGAGTCTCAGCTGAGGGCGTGCCTCCCTAGGAAGCCCACCGCAGTCGGGGGGGCCTGCCCCAAGCGCACTGCCAGCCGCACCTGGCACTCACCTGGCGTCTGCCTCACTGTAATACTCCCGGGCCACGATGTCTTCAAACAGCTCCCCACCAGTGACTCTGGGGAGACAGGCACTGAGTCACCCTCCCTCAGAGGCCCCGGGTGCCAACCTGCTTGAAGGAGTCTCCAGAAAGCTGAGGTTGGGGCCCAGGGACCTCCGAACCTCAGCCCCAAAGGGAGACAGGGAAGGTCATTGGGGTGTCCCCGTTGCCACCCCCCACCTTCCCGCACACCCTTCCTGCACTGACCCCAACCCTGTCCTTGCCTTTTTCTGCAGCTGGGCTCTTTCTGGTGTGGGAACCTCAGATCACAACAATGAACCCAGCTCTTGGGAGCCCAACAGCAGTTGGGTTTTGATTGGTTTGTTTTTACGCTGTTTGTTGTTTGTTTGTTTAATGGACTTTTTCTCTTTTTAAAGAATAGCTTTGGGTTCACAGGAAAATCAAGCAGAAGGTGCAGAGGCTTTTTATACAGGGCTGCCCCCAGCATGCATGTCCTCGTTCTGAGCATTCCCGGCTGGGGTTCACAGATGAGACCAGTGATTTCCCACTACCTGTCCAGGAACCACCACCGCCCATCATTTCATCACTGCAAACAAATTAAACAGATTCCAAAGGGAAACTCGGTCTCCCTGTATGAGTGGTATCAGCACCACTGGCCACGAACAGAAAAGAGGTGAATCCATGACAGTGACAAGGGCATGGTGTTCCAGCAGCAAAAGCTGTCACACAGCTTGGGTGGCACACCTGGGCATATCACATGTCGGGAACTCTGGGCCAGACGAGAGAGTTCCACCCGGCCTAAAGGCATTTGGGACCCCAGAGGCCAAGGGGCCCTGTGAGCTCATCCTGCCCAGACAGCCCCACACCCTCAGCACGTCCCAGGGTGGGTCCAGACTCACAGATCGAAGATCAGGTAATGGTGTCCCTCCTCAGAGATGCTGTCATGGAGCCGGACTGCGGGAGGGGCCGAGGCAGCAGGTTACACCTGGACACACCGCTGCCCACCCCCACCATTGCTCTGGCTCCTCCTATGGTCAGTATCCCAGTTTCCCAGTCTCAGAGCACAAACTTGGTGCTAGGGGCTTTGACAAGCTCGGGTACAAAGGGCTCACCACATCAAGTGCTCACAGACCCCAGGCATTACTGAAGGAGGTCTGTGCCTGAGGACTAAAGGCTCCTGTTTGGTCCCTTCTGTATAACCCACAAGTTTTGTTGCTGGCCAGACAAAGAGGTTATAACTGCAATCCCTGCAGCAGACTGGCTGTGTGACTTCTGGCAGGTTGCTAAGCCTTTCTGAGCCTCTTTCCTTGCCTGGACCGTGAGAATGAGACTATTGGACTTGCAGCCTTGTGAGGGTTCCACGGGGTACACTGTCAGTGCTTACTCACTGCTGGCCCTGAGCTGAGAGCCCTGCTCTGCCTCCAGGTCTGAGGAGCTAATAGAGCCATGGAGGCCAGAGGTGGGGAGCAGCGGCAGCCCCGGAGCTCTGGCTGCTAGGAAGGAGGCTGTCGTCTCTTCACACTTCATTTACCAAGAACAGAGGCCAAGCTCCCAGAAATTCAGAGCTCCCAAAATTACCCCTGAGCTTTTAGAAAGAAGTGCCTGAGGGCTGAGGCTGACTCTGGGGGCCCTCACCTTGTCAGCCAAGGGCAAGTTGTCACAGGACGGGGCTCACATCCTTCCCTGCACCACAACCTAAAAATGTCCACAGAGGGAGGCTGACTCGGAGAGCTATGATCCATCCACACAATGGAAAATTACACAGCTGTTAAAATCATGCGGCAGTTATGCATCCACTGGTTTGGAATCATCTCCAAATTATGTTGTTTAGTGAAAAAGCAAACTGCAAACCAGTATGCATAGTTCTTTTTTCAAAGGATGCATTTAAGCTTATAAATGGCGTAAGTCTCCCCAGAAGAACACAGAGCAGTGAACATTGGGGTGCCTTTGGGGAGGGGGATTGGGGAGCAAGGACATAGAGAAGACTCATTTTTCACCGTAACCCCTCGTACTACTGAACTTTTGCTTTGTGCACATATCCCTGACTCAGAACTGAGTCTCTCAAATTGTTCGTAGCTCTCATCTTTTAAGTAAAATGTGCAGAATGGCAGAGAGGCAGGTGCCAAATGCCCTGAGTGGGCACCTTCGTAGACAGGAGATGGACACCAGAGATGATGGGGCACAGACTAAAAGTAAAACCCTAAGACGCTCTTAAGTGATGATACATACTGGTGCATAATAATCAGAAGATGTTTAAGAAAACCTTAAGAGTACATCTAGTATAGTCCCACTTTACTTTATCCACACTTTCCTATAAAAAAGTCAAACCTACATCAGGTGAACACCCATACAGTGCCACTCAGACTCTATTATTAGTGCTCCTCTATCACTGCCCTACTGCACTTGGACCCCTGCCTCTGGCCGTTAACCTGTTGTAATTTTTAGTGCATTCCAAATAGATGCAGGCTTCGTTTCTTAAACACAGATGCTTGTATAACTGTGTTTTTGGTTTACTGGACCCAGCAACCTTACATCAATGCCCTGCCAAGGTCCCCTTTGGTAAGCTGGTGTGTCCACCCCTTGGCTGCCAGGACAGTTGGCTGCTCACAGCACTCGAGTGCCTGTCTCGGGCTCTGGCTCGAAGGAAGCTGAGCTGCGATAAATGCACAGGTGTATATGAGAGGGCCCACCGATTGCAGATATATGGAAACAGGTATCATCAAACCGTAGCTCTAGATGAGAGGTTTATAGGAGGCCCTTCACAAAGTCTTTGTCTCCTCATTGATCTGCAATAAGCTTGCATTGTTATTGTGTCAAAGTAGAGTTGTCAAAAGACCATTTTCCCCTTGGGCATGGTGGCGCACGCCTATAATCCCAGCATCTGGGATGCTGAGGCAGGAGGATTGCAGGGAGTTCAAGGCCAGCCTGAACTACAAAGTGAGTTCAAGGCCAACCTGAACTGCATAGTGAAACCTTGTCTCAAAAAGACAAAAAAATAAAAAAAAATAAAAAAAAAAGAAAGAAAGAAATTCAAAGGCTGTTTTCCTCACGGTCTTCCTCCACGTGGACTCTTGGGGGACAGACCCTTCCTGTCCACTTCGGCTGGAGGTGGTACTAACTCCCTGCCCTGAGTGTGAGAAGCCGCGCTGCAGTCAGAATCATCCCCAAAAGGAGTTTCAGAAACGGGTCAATGGCCCTTTTATGGGAACCCCAGGAGGATGAAGGGTCAGACCTGTCTTCAGACCAGACACCTCAGCCCCTATCGAGAAGGTCCTCAGGGCTTAGGGAAATGGGAAGAACCTGGGGAGATTTTCCTCTGTGTTGCTATAAAGGGCAGTCTCTCTGAACCACTGGGCAAGGGACAGATGGATTTCAGCCCCTATTAAGCAGGGCACCACCTGCACAACGGTACTGGAGTTGGCCTCGGTGGCTTACAGTAGTGGACTCGGGACATAGGACTTCCTGCAGTGCAGTGCTCATGCAGAGCCTCCCTCCCCTCGTGGGGCTATCTGTAGACCACCGCTGCCAGAACCTGGGAGGAAAGGCAGCAATCAAGACCACCAGCTGCAGCAGCAGTCCTTCTCCCGGTGGAATGAGTGGCCTGCTGGTGTCCACAGAATTGCGTGACCACTTCACTTTTTAAAATATTGTCATAGGATAGATAAATCTGTAACCTAGTTTGACTCATGGATTTCTAACATCCCTGCGATATTCCCAGTGGTTACAATTTTTGTCGTGAAAGTTGAAGGGTAGTAGCACTTGTTCCTTTACCTGTGAGCCTCTGACCACCACACTCTTGGTGTCCGCTTGGGAAGCTAAATGTGATTTGCATGGGCCCTGGACTTACTGGGTTCCCCTCCCAGATCCACCTCTTACAAGCTGTGCAACTTTGGGCCAATGTCTTAACCTCTCAGAGCCTCCACTCCTTAGAGTGGTGCTAATGCAATTGGACTGTAATGGGAGACTAATGTGATGATGCTTGTGAAGCATTCAGCTATTACCTAATGCTAGGAATCATTAAGTGAAGACACTGCCCTCCTGTGCCACCAACCGGCCACCCTTCCCTCTCCCACCCCACATCACACACTCAGCTCTCAGGTTGTCCCTAGCACAGTTCAAGTTCTCTGCACCCTGGGGTGGCTTCTGGGGCTCTGCCCCATTGCAGGTGGTGATGGTACAGGGGGCAGGTACTGTCCTCCCCGGGGCAGGAGTGGGAGGCAAATGCTTTATACAAAGCACAGCTGGACCCTTCTGTGCTGAGCCAGGTGCCTCCGGGACCTGGTCCTGGGGGCCGGGCTGTGGACACACGCGGACATATCTGGATTTGACAAGGAGGCAGTCTAGGATTTGGTCAGGCTCTCGAGGATCCCATTCACCTTTCAGCTTCCACACCCACATGCAAGAGCCTCTGCGCTTCTCTAGGAAGATATTCACACTCTCCCTCAGCCCTCCCAGCAGTCCTAGCAGGTGGGTACCGTGATCACAGGCATGAAGAATGCTGAGGTTCAGAGAGGTTCACGATCAAATACTGCAGCTGCGACTGGGACCTGGTGTGTCTGACCGCAACAAAACCCATTCTCTTAGCCAGCATGTTGTCATGGTTGCCACCAAAGACCAATAGTCTTGATGGCTTGGGGCAGAGATAATCTGATGGGGTTCCAGGCAAAAGCAGGTCTTCTTTGGGAAGGTGCAGGATGGGGGCAGGAAGGGGACATCTTGGTGACAATAAAGCACTGGCCTGATGCCTGTCTTCGTGCTGTGCTCTACATCCTGTGAGGCAGATAGAATTCACATTCTCCAAATAAAACTGAGCTTCAGAGAGCTTAAGCAGTGCGTCCAGGGCCTCACAGCAATAAAGCAACACATCCAAGCTTTGAGCTTATTCTGTCAGCCCCAGAGCCCATAACTTACTCTCCCATTACAGCTGGGCATGGGAGGCAGAGGAAGACACAAAGAGAAGAGGCAGCATTGACCTGAGACCGCTGCAGTTGTGCAGAAGCACACACATGCACACACACACAACAAGCTCCGCCTCCTTCCTCCCACATGATAGCTTCTATGAGAACCAAGAGGTTTATGGTCAGAGACGGCTCCAGCCCCCCCCCCAGTTGGGGGTGGGGCTGGCGGTCAGGAAGGAAGATAGCAAGTTGGGGAGGGGCCCGCCAGCTCCCCTTGCAGCCACGCCTCGCCGCCTCCTCTCTGCCCTGTCTGGCCCGCCTCTCCTCTCCTCTCCTCATTCCTGCTTCTTCAGCTGCTGCGGAGCAGGGAGGCAGGGGCTTTTTCTGGGTATAAATAGCAGATGGAGCTGCTTCTCCCTGTAGGAGAGTTAACCCTTGGGGCCCTGGGCATGGAGAGATGCTCCTCGCCCTGGGAGAAGGCATGGCAGCTGTCAGAGTCAGCACCATCCTTGGAGAGCGAGGAGATCTTCTCCTCAGAGTGCTCTAGGAGTCAGAAGCTTTGGCCTTGCTGGAAGCCATGACAACTGCAATTCCTCAGGCTCCATCCCAGACCAGCTGAATCAGAAGCTGCCTTTTTACGAAATACCCAGTTGATTGGAAAAAGACAAGCACTGGTCCAGACAGCCCTCTCCAAGTGAAGAAGGGGGAAAGCAGCTCAGAGAAGGGAGTGCTCCTGCCCAAGGTCACACAGCCATTCCCTGCTAACCTAGATCCAAAAGTTGAACGCCTCCCTTCATGACTCAGACCCTGGTTGGCCAGAATCAGCCTCCAGTTGCACAGGAGCTGGGGGAGATGGTCCGGCAGTGAAGTACATTTCCTGAGCCCTTGTCCTTGGGCGTTACTGCCCTGGCTCTGTCCCCTCCGGTCCTGGGCTCGCTCTCCAGGCAGCCTGCAATAGGTCTAAGCCGGGGGCGGGGCTGAGCTGCATCTTAATCCTGGCTGACTCAACATAGAGCAGGTCTGGGGTGGACCACGAAGGTCAAGGCCAAGCTTTCCCTCCTGGCCTATTTTCTTCTCTCTCTGAGTTCCGGGAGTTTTCCTGAAACAGCTTTTCCAAAGGAGGCTGCTGGCAGTGTGGGATGGGAAGAAGGGCCCCTTATTCGCCTTCCCTGAAGCAAGCTGCTCTCTGAGAATGTGGAAACCATAAGGGACACCCCTTTTCAATCTCTACTGCCACCCACCCAGGACTCCCAACCCACACCTGGACCCCCAGGGCACAGGCCTGCCTGACACACCCTCTGCACCCCCAGGCCTCACCGATGTTGGGGTGCTTCAGCAGGCGGCAGATGCGGGCCTCGCGCTCCAGCTTCTGATGGTCTGAAACACAAACACTCAGGAGAGTCCCAGGAGAGGAGCCACTTGCAGCCTCCTGTGGGCCTCCCCATGGCCTCTACCTCCCAGGGAGGCCCAGGCTGTTAAGTGAGTACCCCCCGCCCCGCCCCTTGACCTCAGTTTGCAGGGCTTTCAGAAAACGACTTTCTCTGGGCTCTTTCCCATGTGACAAGGCCCCAGCTGGGACAGTAGGTAGTCAAGAAACAGCAGAATGGAAGAACAAACGATTTCCCGAGGGAGTGGCTGATCTCTCCAGAAGAACAACATTACTCACCAGAAGCCACCTCCCTTTCAAAGAACTCTGGGACCAGGGACCAGCCAGCAGTAAACCTGCACGGTAGACTGCATTTGAGACAGCCTCAGGGGTGGCCCAGAACTGTCACATCTGCCTTCCAGGACCTCTGACAAGACCCTTGGTCTTCCCCCAACACGTGGGGAAGTGGCCTAGCTCAGGATCAGTCCTGTGGTCTCTGACTCTCAAGCACGGGGAACATTAGACCTACAACCCGCTCAGCGCCTCCCACCCCCTGGGCTATGAGCTGGACCACTGTCCCTATTTTACAGACTGAGTAACTCAAGGCCTCTGTGGTGGCAGACTTGGAATTGAAAATGCATTTTCCAACTCCCTGTGTGATACTTTTTTCACAGTTCAGTAGCTAATGCCTTAATTTTAAAAACAAAGCGGTTAAGGAGAAACTACTAGCACACGTAGAATATAGCATCCTTTGCATACCCTTTATCTGAAAAGCTTGGGACCAGAAGTGCGTCTCAGATGTTTTCAGAGTTTGGAATGTTTGCACATATATAATGAGCTATCTTAGTGATAGGACCACAAAACTCACTTATGTTTCATGTATGATTTACATACATAGCCTGAAGGTAATTTTATGTAACATTTTTCATAGTTTTGTACATGAAACAAAGTTTCCTTCACAACTCACAAAGTTAGGGGGTTGGGAGTATTTCGGATTTCGGGTTAGGGATGATTGACCTGTATTGGCCATGTGTCACAAGTTGAGCATAGTGCTCTGGAGGCCTTCCAGCCTTCACAGCAGCCCTCTGAGAGAGCTACAACAGAGGTCCAGAGAGGTAGGCACCCAGCCCAAAGTCACAGCCATGGTGAGCGTGGAGCCACGCTCTCTCCCCCAGCGGTCGGACTCCAGAGTCGCGCCTAAGCCCTGAGCTACCTATTCTCGGGCTCCGACTTGTGACCTCCTCCACCTGCCTTGTCTCCCTGTGGGAAAACTGGGGCCCACAGATAGGGACTCACCAAACACTCAGAGGCCATGCCAGGACTAGAACTTTAGCCACTGAATAACTACAGGAAGCCAGGAGGCACTAAGGATGGAAAGCCCCAACCCCTGTCCTGTCCCTGGGTACTCAGCTCCCCTCTCCTCTGCCCCCTCCACTAGAACAATCACTGGCTGTCCTCCCTGAGCTGCAGAAGCCAAGATCAAGGCTGACATGTGGCTTTGCCATAAGCAAAGCAATTAAACCCACTTCTGTTTCCATAGACTCAGCTCCCCAGGGGTAGGCCAGCTACAGGCAGGGAAGGAGAGGAGGGCCGAGTAGTGGGGTGTCCTCCTGGGTCCCCACCCGCCAAGACTCCATCCATGTTCCCAGGGCAGGGGACACTGGGTCTTGGGCAAAAGAGGGGATCCTCACCTAGAGGTGCTTGGGGACCCTCAGTGGGCTGAGGAAGACTGGACCCTCCTTGCTGTGCACCCTGTGCCCCGTCCCATCCCTCCCCCAGAAAAGCCAGAAACCAAGTAGCCCAAGGCCAGGCCCATCCCAGGGGACAGGGGGCCTTTGGCCCAGGCTACACATTCGGAGAGTGGGGCTTCAAATCTGGAATTTTGGTGTTTTCTCCATGTGAGGTTACTTGGGAGCAAAATTCCACCAAGAGGACCAAAAGCAAATGCTGGTCACACAACTTTAGACTGGCGTCTGGTGACCAGACCTCCCTGCCAGAAATGCTAGGAAATATAAGTCCTATAATCATCTTGTGCAGAGCACAATTGCCTTGCATTGTAAATTTTGTTGTTAAAAGCATTCATTTGCTGAATGTAAACATATATATTGTAGAATACGTTTATAATCCTGTTATAGTGTTTTCATTTCTAATATACAGAGAATGTCAAGACCCATAGGGACCATGTTTTCCTTGACCTAGAGGTCTTGCCGTTTAACATAGATAGGTAAACTGAAGCCAGGGATAAAAGGGTAGGCCCCTTTATCAAAATCAGACTCTTAACTATGTGGGCCCCACCACCACCCAGGCCGATTGTCCTCAACAGCCAAGAAACTCTTTCTATTATTTATTTATTTATTTTTGGGTACCAGGAATCGAACTCAGGACCTTGCACTTACCAGGCAGGCACTGTGTCACTGAGCTATCTCCTGCGCCCAGGAGCTCTTTTTAAAACATAAATTAGATCTTGCTAGTTCCTGGCATTGAACTGTCCAACAGCTTTCTGGTGTACTTATTATAAATCCAGCCTCATATCCAAGACCTTGCTGCATCCTCCCTCATCTCAGCCATGAAGGTCTAGCAACTGCAGCCTCCTTTCTGGCCTCAGGCACATCAAGCTCCTTTCTGCCTCAGGGTCTTTGCACATACTGCACCTTTGTCCAGAATGCTCTGTCCCTCAGTCTTCTCCTGGCTGCTGGTTCCTGGTCAAGCAGGCTCAGCACAATGTCCCCTCTTGAAGAGCTTCCCTGGCTGCTTTTCCAAGAGCATCTCTCCTGTTGCCTCACTTCCCCATCACCTTGTTTTATTTTTTATTTTTTATTTTTTTTGGTTTTTCTCTGGTACCAGGAACCAAAATCATGGCCTTGCGCTTGCCAGACAGGTGCTTTGCCGCTGAGCTAAATCCCCAGCCCAGAATCTTTTTTTTTTTTTTTTGGTACCTTGTTTTATCTCTTTACAGTACTCACCACTACTTGAAACTATCCAGCTTATTTATGTGTCTAATGTGCTTTGTGATCTCATTTCCTAGAAAACTGGTGCATTGAGAGCAAGACCCTTTCTGTGGGTCACTGCCACAGTCCCAGGACCTAGCATAGAGCTGCTGAGCAGGTTGTCTAAAGCTCCAACGTGAACTAATGGCAGCACAGGGTTTCAGCCCGTGTCCATAATCACTACGCGATATGCCTCCCATTCTAATCATTAGTTAGTGGGAAACTCCGTCCACCCAATGGAGAGGCCTGGGAAAGCCCGTGTCTCCGGCTTCCTGCTGGTACCTGGGAGAGTTGTCTCCAAAGCCCATGACGGTATCTGGGGGAGCTTTACCCTCTCATGGCTGGGTCACCACATTAATCAGTGGTGGCTCTGGAGTGAGGCCCCAGAAGGGCAGGGCAGGGCAGGCCCTGGAGGAAGTGCAATCACACAGACTGGCAGAGCTCTGCCTCCACAGGGGATGGGCTCGGCAGGCAGCAGGCACAGGTTTCTGACAAGAGGCCCAGGATCCAGGGAAGAGAAGACCCCTCAGTTCTGGGGACAAGAAACGTCCCCTTCATCCACAGGCTCAACAGGGCTCTTGGTCCTGGGAGGTTGGAGAAATAATCCCAAGGACTGAGATGTCAGGCAAGGGTGTGGAGGATGGGCAGAGAGCTCCCTCACAGGGCCCTGAACGGGGCTCAGGCACAGCCTGGATGAACTTCTGCCGTGCTTCCCAACCAGCACCCGAAGACTGGCAGCCAGGGAGCCTAGGAAGTGGCCCCTGGGCGTGTGGGTGAAGCCCAGAGCTGGAGGAGGTGGCAGTCCCTGTGCTCAGTGCCCTAGCCACACTGAGCATGAGCCCCCGGAAGGAGAGGGCCGGCTCGGCGGGGACCTGGTGGGGATCAGCCCTGAGGCCGTGCGTGCTGTCTGCACAATGGGGCTGTGACAGCACAGGAGCTGGAGCCTCACAGACTCGACCCAGCCCTGCGATGCAGGCAGCTGTATTTTTAAAAAGACCCCTGCGAGGATTTGGCAGAGATTGGGACAAGCAAAATTTTTACTTTTCATTCCATTTCTTGATGGTTTCTTTGAAAGATTATTTTTTAAAAAACTAATTAAAAAAAAAAACTAATTAAAAAAAAGACCCTAATTTAAAAATGTACCTCCTGGATTTGGGAACCACTTGCTAAAAGAGGCCAGACAGGGAAGCCACAGCTCCCTGGGAGGGGTGGACAGCGACCTGGGTGGGCACAAGTCCCTGCTGGGAGCTGCTGGAATTCACCCAAGAGTGGCAGCAGGAGAAGTTTAGAGCGCGTTGCCAAATATTCTGTATTAAGCCCCCCGGAGGCTCCATGAGTGGCAAACAAAGAAACCTGCTAAAAGAAGCTCTGCTCCTCCTCTCCCGCTGGGAAAAAGTGCAGTGAGCAGTTGGCAGACTTCTTCGGGAATGTTCCCGGTAGCTGCCCCGCCCCCGCCCCCCACACTTACGTAGGCCTGGGCGCCTGTCCTCCCAGACTCAGCAGACAGCCGAGAGGGGCTTGGGTGATAGCTGCCTGCCGAGTCAGGACCACAGCATCCTGCAGTGCTGAGTCAGCTTCCCACACAGAAGCAATGGGCTTTCCACTCCCTATGCACCTCTATCTCCTGACCAGTCAATGTGAGTGTGTGTGTGTGTGTGCGCGCGTGTGTGTGTGCGTGTCTGTAGGTATGCCAAGACTGTGATTGACTAGCCCAAGACCCCGCACATCGAGGGAGACCGCCATTCCTAAACTTCCTCTTGGGCACCCTCAACTTGTCACCCCCAAGTCATGACTCTGGTCCTGCTGCCCCCACTGTTTCCCAGAGCTGGGATATCTCCCATAATCACTAGAGCCCCAAGGCACAGACTGGCATGAGATTGCCAGTAGTCACACAGCAGAGGCAAAGCCAATCCCAGCCTGTGTTCCTGCAGGCCTTCCTGCCCACCGCGGCTCACGCTGCTGGCTGTGGCTCTGGACCTTTCATGGGTCTGATCTTTTCACACTGGCTGTGCCGTGGGAGGGCCCTGGGTCTTCAGACCCCTCCTACCCCGGCCTCCTCCATGCAGAGCCTCTTCTCCCTGCAGGACACCAGGAGAAAATGCTATGCTCCCAGCCATACCGACCCAGACAGATGAAAGACAGCAGCAACACACAGCCCAACACAGGACTTGCTGAGAGGCCTGTGGGGAACAGCAGGCACGTTCTGTACCAGTGCATGCGGGACCCCTGGAGTCCCACACCCGCTGGGCCCTGGCCCAGACACAGCCACGCTGTTCAACACCTGAGCACCACACCTGCCCCCGACACAGCATCTCCCACTTCACCCAGCAGGGTCCCCGCTCACCGCGCCGTCCCAAAGGCAGCTGGTACGCTGTCTCATTTGGCATCTTTGAAGACAACCCTCTCCAACACACTGACTGTGGTCAGCACCATTGCTGTCCTGCACACTAGTGGACAAGGAGCCCTGTGAGCAGCTTTCCCAAACTTTAATGCCCATTTGACTGACCTGGGCATCTTGATAAAATGCAGACTTGAGTTTTTTAGGCCTGGGGAGGGGCCTGATACTTTGCATTTCTAACACTCTCCCAGATGCTGACATTGTGAGTCCAGAGCCACTCATCAGGTCCGAGAACCGCCATGCCATGTAAGGTCTCCAAACATCTCTGTGAATTAGAACTTGCTGGGTATCATTTCCAACTCAGGTCATGCCCCAGACCACCTGTTCAGGGACTGGAGACGGCTGCTGTAGTCAAAGAGGACACCTGGTGTGGGCTCTGTCTCTCACACTGAGGATAGGGCTGCAGATGAAACCTGCCCTCCTGCTTGGAGCTCAGTCAAGAAGAGACACAGATGTTACACAAGGAGCCAACCAGCAAATCACACAGGCAAGGGCAAGGGAAAGCCAGGAGGAAACAGACAGAAGATGAAAGACCTCCTCAGACCAGGGGCTCAGAGAAGCCGAGCTGAGACCCAAAGGCTGGGAGAGGGGCGGCCATGAGAGGAACCAGGTTAGGCATTCGCGCAGGGCATGGCAAGCGCAGAGTCTGCACTGAGACGAGAAGGGGCACGGCAGAAGGGGCGGGGAGAAGTCCCATCTGGTGCCTTGGCTACAGAGAGGGGCAGACAGCTTGGCCGGTCTTTGTGAGGCTGTGGGTTCCAGCCCAGATTTCCCGGAGAGGACGAGGGAGGTCTATTCTCATGACATCGTCAGGAAGAAGAGCCACTAACTACCACTGGCATCCCCCAGGGGCACAGAGTCGGGTCCTGGTCCTAAGCCCAGAGGCAGGAGGGAGGAAGGGAAGAAGAGCCTGGCTGTGGGCCAAGCTGGGGGGGCACCTACCTCTGGCTGAGAGCTTCTTGGTGTTGATGATCTTGGCAGCATACTCCTGGCCAGCCAGCACCTTCACACACCTGCGCACGACCGAGAAGGCTCCCCTGGGAGGACAGAGGTAAGGCAATCAGGGAGATGCCAGGGCTCCATCCTGGGAGATGCCAGAGCTCATGCAGCTGTGCCAGGCTGAGGCGGGAACTCTCCTTTGGAGCTGCCTAGGCTCCAGGGGGCTCCTGTGGCCTGACTCAGGACAGCAGGGCTGGAGAGACTCAGAGACAGACTTAGAGGCCTGGCCTCCGCCAGGATGAACCTCTGAACTCATCAAAAGTTAGGCTTACTAAATTGCAAAGCATTAGAGCTCTATAACATTAGAACCATAGACTCTAGTTCCCTGAAAACCAGTTTTGTAACTCTTTGAGTAGGTAACATATCAACATGGCTCAAGGTTCAAAGGATTCGAAAGTGTAAACAGTGAAAGACTTCCCCCTGCCCACATCCCCTGGCCTCCGAGGTCCCCGCTGCAGAGAAGGCCACTGCGGTCTGGCCCTTGCATATCTCTCTGCAGATACCGTACCTCTCCCCCATGCAAATGGCACTGGGCTTAGCACGCTGTTCTCTACCTTCTTTTCTCAGTTAATGATATACTTTGGAAGTCCTTTGTCATACCATAACATAAAGCACTTTGTTACATAATGCACAACTGTATGGCTGGTCTGTGCTTTATTAGGCCAGTCCTCTATTGAAGGGCAATTGGGTTAGTTCCAGTCTGTCAATATTACAAACAGCGCCAATGACTGAACTTGTGTGTGTGCACTGGAATTTCACTTCATGTGCGTGCACATGTCTATAGGATAAATTCCTAGCACTGGTGTTTTTCAAGGGGTAGATAATATTTGGCAATTTTGATAGATAATGAGAGTGGGCATCTTAGAGATTGTACCAACTTACTTTCCCAGCAGGCTGGGGAAGAACCAGCTTCCTCTGCCCTCATCAACACGGTGCATTATCAAACTTTTATATTTGCTAGTTAGAGAGGTAGAAAATGACAACTTGGTGTTTATTTAGTTTTTAATTGTAATATTCAAAAGCTGAGCATCTTTTCAGGTGTTTTAGGAGCCTCCTTGGACTTTTATCCTCAAAGCATTAGTGACCGAAGAACTTGGGGCAAGGCTACGAGTTTCAGAGATCAGAGGGGAAACTGATTATTGTCACATGGAAGGGGGCTGATTCCTATCTCACTGAATTTTTCAAACAAAGCTAGAAGTCTAAATGTTCTAAATGAGAAATTTCCCAACTTTTAAATCCTGGTGCCTTATTCCAAAAGAATTTGAGCATGAAGCCAAACAAAGCCAGTGTGAGAGCTGGACCTGGAGTTGAGCTATCATTTTGCATTCCTCCACAAGGGCCATGTGGTCCAGCTTCTTGTATGAGAGAGGAGGCTCCTAAGAGAACCGCCACTGTACTCATCAACATTATACTGCCCTACCCAGTAGTGTTTATAGCGAAAAGAAAAGCTCCTGGGCAAGTTTCCCAAACAGTAATGTTCTTTCGAACTGTCTGGACTCCTTGCTAAAGTGCAGTTCTGATTGCTTATGTCTGAGTGGGATCGAGACTCTCCATTGTAGCTCAGCGTAGCTAGATCAAGGTCACACAGCAAGTTACAGGCATGACTATATCTAGGACTCAGAGATTTGGGCTCATGGGTTCTTCACTTCCACACCGATGAGCCTCGAATACACTTCCTGTGTGCCAAGCCCTGCCCAGGTTCCTGACATGACCATACCACAACATAGCCTCTGAGCTCTGACCTCAGGGAGTTTGCTAGCAGGCACGAAGGAAGCCACAGGCTGACACAAATGGCTGTTCTACATACACCCTGGGGCATACTGTCACTACCTCCACATCCAGGTGGCAGAAGACAGCAGCTGGGAAACTGTACAGGAAGATGGGAAAGAAAGTCCTGGGATGAGGACTAGAGACTGTGAAATACGACCTCATAGGAAAGCTGGAGGCCAGAAATCATGCATAAACTGAGGGAGGGTCTCCCACAGCAGTGGGTCCTCCCAGGGGTGTATAGCCTCACCTGTCCACCACCAGCAGGAAAGCAACGAGATCCCATTCACCTTCTGAGATGTTGCCCCTCCAGTGTGGCACTTTCTCTATGTTCCCAGAGACCTCTGGATAGGAAAAACTCATTTTCCTCTAATCAACCCATAATGCACCTGGCTACCAAATCTAGGCAACTTCTTTCATACCAATCAATTCTACTCTCGGGACATCAGTTTTGGATCCTACCATTATAGGATTATATAATGGTATACCTCATTATAATACTGCCCACTCTGAGTGCAGACCCACAGGTTGAGGGCTCAGTTCCAAAAGACTGTCCCCTTACTTCAGACTCCAACTGCAAGGAGTGGATCCCCAAGTTACTCACATTTCTATTCACCATGGCTAGCAAGTGGGAGTTCCCATGACTCCTTCTCAGGTTCGAGAATTTTCTATGATGGCTCACAGGACTCAAGAAAACATCTACTAAAAAAAAAATCTACTGGGGCTGGGGATTTAGCTCAGCGGCAAAAGTGCCTGCCTGGCAAGCGCAAGGTCATGAGTTCGGTTCCCGGTACCGGAGAAAAACCAAAAAAAAAAAAAAAAAAATCTACTTACATTTGCTGGTTTATATACAATAAAGGATGGGATTGAGGATTTAGATGAACAGACAGATGGAGCAGTACCTAGGCCAAGGCCTGGAAGTGTTCTGAGAATAGGAGCCTTTGTCCCTCCGGAACTGGGATGTGCTGGGACCCTTCTGCCGCACGGACAAATGTGTTCACCAACCCAGAACGTCTTCAGACTCCATACTTCTGAGATCTTTATGGAGATTTCATCATGTAGGCATGGTCGGCTATAAACTCAATTCCCAACACCTTTACCTCCATTAGAATAGGGTGTGAGGCTGAACGCTCCAAGCTCCTAATCATGTCTTGGACGTTTTGGTGACCAAGCCCTGTCAAAAGAGCCCACCACCTGTCACTTTATTAGAACAAAAGACACTTTATCACCTAGGAAACTCCGAGGGAATTAGGAGCTCTGTGTCAGGAACGAGAGGCAAAACCAAATACTGAAAGCTATTCCAAGCAGCCCTAACCACTTAGGAAATTATAAGTGTTTTAAGAGCTCTGTGTCAAGAACGAGGAAGAAGACCAACTATCATAACCTCCACCAAGCCCAAGGTGGTGCCTGCTCATAGACATCTTGCCTCTCCCTCCCTGCTGAGGAGTTTTTTGGGGGAGGCCAGGATTTTTACTTTCTTCTCTGTGCCTCCGGTACCAGGGACCCAGTGTCTGATACCAATAGGGCCTCTGTCATGTTACTCGCAGGTGTATTTAGCAACAGAGAGAGGAACTAAAATAAGACTGGAAAGTGGATTTTTAGTCAGGGGTATCAGGGACAGGGTGGCATGGCACACTTGTCTAAAAAAGTGCCCATTTTACACAGGCAGGGGAATCGGGGAAGGGGCCCTGCACTTCCGGAGGCCATGATTCTCCAGAGCCCTGAGGGGACAGAAAACATTTAATTGCCCACGTCTAGAAGCGGTCTGAGCACTCCATGAGAACAGGTGGGGAGGAGGGGGCTGCGAGTTGCTGAGGGCAGGGCTGGGCCTTGTTTCACTCACCAGCATCTAGTCCATGGCAGGTCCAGAGCTGGGCTTCAGTTCATATGTGTTAGGTGGAGAGAGGGATAGGTGAAGGGATGGGGGAAGAATGGGTATCATTTCTCCACTAGAAACGCAAAACTGTTCTAGGTAAAGACTTCAGATCAGCAGTCATCCAAGTGGCTGCTATAGAATTACCTGGGGGATATTTTTAAAATAAAGGTTCCAAGGCCCCACCTAGACATACTAATCAAAATCCCTGGGTGTGGGCCCTGGAAAGCTATGTTTTCAATTTAATCCCTTCTCCAGCTGATTCCCAGCCAGCTCAGCCCTGCCCTATCTGCTTTCGGGGAAGCCCTGCTACATATCCCCCTTCCCCCGGTACTGGCACTGGTGCAAGCCATTGCATGGGCTCTGTGCTGGGAGCCGACGGGTCCTATGGGCCTGGGGCCAAGATCTGTGTCTTTGGAACAAGAGAAGCCACACTTGCTGTTCATGAGCTTTCAAGCTTTAGTGCACATCAGAGGTCCCTAACCAGGGAACAAGGCCATGGGCAGGGTGGCTGCATCAATGCTGCCGAGCCCCTTGAAGGACATCTTTGTGCATAAGTTTAGGCATGAGCATTTGGTGCTGGGGCAGTCACATCCCACTCTCATCAGCTGCCAAGAGGAGGATACCTCTCAACTCCACCCCTCCCCGGGCTCCACCCTGAGCTGCCCACTTGGTAATCCTGTGAATACTGAATTCTGAGCTATTTAACAGAGGGAGACCGAAGCCTGGTGCAAACAGTGAATCCTAGTGAATCTATGAAGAGAATTCTTGTCAGTCAAACTTTTTCTCCTGACTCCACTGTAGCCTGGAGTGTGTAGTCGTCAAGAGCCAGCACTCTGTGGGCACAAAGATCTCTGGTCCCATCCTAGCTTGTTCCGAACTGACTTCATGAGGCTAAACTTGGCACTTTACCTCTCTGTTTGCACCCACAAGAGCATGACAGCACCCACTCCCTGGGTTTACTGGGAGGGCAGGAAAGAACACACAGCTCAGGACCCTGCGCACAGTGTAGGACGCAGCAGGTGATGAGGGGAGGAAGGGGCTGGCCCAGGGAGCCCCTCTTTCTGCCCACGCAGTCTCAGGCCTCCAGGGAGGCTCCCTCCTGTGGCGGGGATGAGGGAGACAAGCACAGAGGGAAGCCTTGGAGCAAAACCGAGAGCGAGGGTGGAGAGTCTGCGGCCCTCCCCTCCTCTCTTTTCATCCTTTGTTTTAAAAAAGCACATTTCTGTATTCCTGTCCTGTGTGTGTTAGTGGCCGCAGCCCAGCAGCCTTGGCAAACAGAAGAGCTGGCCCACTCTTCCATGGCCTGCGCTGAGCAGGTGGCCAGCAGGTGGGTGGGCGGGAGAGCTGGCGCACAGCACGGGGTGGGGTGGGGGCAAGGAGGCCAAGGGGGGGACA